ACACCAGCTGCAGCTTGGCCTCAAAAAGGAACGCCACTCAACGTGGATCGTCCTGCAGGGTCTGAATATTTAACCTTGTTGGGAGGGACTATGACTTCGGCAGTGGCATCGGTACTGGGTCATTCCTATCTCTTGATATTTCGTTCCTGTCGTGGTGGAGTTATTGGAACAATACAATTTGAGTCAGCTAATAGCCAAGACCACAATGAACTATAAGTAAGCTTGTCTTTCTTCTCGTTTCTGACCTCCTGTCACGCACATCACTACATCTTCATTCTCGGGCAGTAGTCAGTTCGTCCCAATCAGACCATGGTCACGTCCAGTCAAGCGTTGGCCTCGATAGGCTATCTTCTTCTCTTTGCAGGTGCCGCCGCCGCCGATTTCCGCGATGTCTGTGATGCAGACTGCGAATCTGCCATCCGGAAGTCGTTGGTCTACGACACGAGCAACTGGGTCAACGTCGATGTCAAACTCGACTCTTTCTACTCCAATCCTTCCAACCTCTCGGACTACGCCGTTGGTGACCTCGTCAAATGGCAAGACATTACCGCGACACAAGCCTCCAAGATATGGACTATCCCCGCCGGAATGTCCCTTTCTCGCTTTTTCTACATGAGCGAGGACATCGATGGCAAGCCTATTCCGGCAACAGCGTTTGCCCTACTCCCATGGGCAAACCCTCTCGGAAATGACAAGCCTTTTCGTACCTTGGCATGGGCACACGGTACCGCAGGAATCCAGCGCCAATGCGCCCCTACAAACCATAAGGCCCTCTATTACGAGTGGGAAGGGGTCTTTCCATTGGCCCAGGCGGGATATGCCGTCATCGCCCCGGACTACGCAGGACTCGGTAGCGACATCCCGCAAGGCTTCATGTATGAGGCCGGGGCCCTTCACGCCGCCGATGTTTCCCATGCCCTCAAGGCCGCACGTGCTGCCCTCCGCGACCGTCTTTCCAAAGAGTGGGCCGTTATCGGTCATAGCGAGGGCGGTTTGACGGCATGGCGCACCAACGAGCGTGAAGCCCGAGATGGCAACACAAGCGGCGGCTTTCTCGGTGCGGTCTCGGTTGCTCCGGCCCTCCGCCCTCTCAGTCTCATTCCCGAGTCGTTCGAACGTGCCAACGGGGGCCCAGTCGGCGACGTTGTGTCCGTCTACTTCCTCCAGTCTGTCTCCAAGCTGTACAGCTCCATCAAGGTCGAAGACTACGTCAGCGACATCGTCGCAAGCCTTATTCCCACCTCAGATAAAGGCTGTCTGCCCACTGGCGGTACCGTCTTTGGCCAGCTGACCGTGGAACAACTTTACAAGAACACGAGTTGGCTCACACACCCCGATTTGGTGGACTGGCAGACCCGCTACAACGGAGCTGGACCGCATGCACTAGCCGCTCCTATGCTTGTCGTCCAAGGTGTCAACGACACTTTGACTTACTCTCACACTATGGAAGAGGATTTTGATGCCACTTGCAATAGCTTCCCAGAGTCCTCCTCCGAGCTGCTCCTCTACCCTGAACTTGACCATGATCCTGCGTTCCAGGCTGCGCAGGTGGACTACCTGCCCTGGCTTGCTGATCGCTTCAACAAGCTTCCGGTGAAGCAGGGGTGCAGTAAAAGAACTATTGGCCCTGCTACAACACACCCTGCTTTGACGCAGCAAAGCTGGTCCGGCACTGTTCAAGCTGGGTAAGCTGAGGCACTGCAATTGTTGTTTCAACGCCATTGACACTTCGCATCCATGGACACAGTTAGTTCCTAACTGACGCAAGGTTGACAAGACGGATAGTAGCATTAGTATGCCGAAAGGTCGAAACCATTCTTCTTCTTGTACATAATATTAATTTCCAACATTTGATTGATTCCTACATACAACTTTCGGTCTTCGTTTGTGAGCATGCGCAACAGAGAGCTAAAATAGTTATTGCTCCGAAACCGCAATATGCCTTCTCCATGGATCAAAATGTGAAATCAAGAAGAAACAACGAGGCAATCATGGATACTGTAAAATAACAATATCTCGATTGGACCGGTGTGAATAGCAGTGCAAGAGTCGCCGACAGAGACGACAGATACAGCCAGAGGGGTAAGGTAGGACAGAGACAGGTATCAGACCAGCAGAATAAAGAAAGGGAAACCACAGCGAATTGAAGCCCATAGTGCTATGATTTCCGCTACTTGTTCGAATGGCAAAACCTTTATGGGTTTCTTCAGGTTCCTACTCGTGGCTTTGCAGCCTCTGTTCTTGGATGCCCGAAGCAGGGGAGTCACCATCGACTCGCAATTGACGAAGTGCAAACACAAGTCGACGATATCTTTGTTGTAAAATAAAACATGGAGAGACAGGAATGTAACTACTCAAAAGTCAATGTTTCCATGCGATACACCGGCTGCATAGATAAACTCGATGGACTGTGTTGCGTTAATTGGCTCTCCTGGCGAATGAGACATGCAGTGCACCGTTGACACGGGCGTCACTGTAACAATGCGCTGTCGGAACGTTGCAGTCCTGAGCTCTAGCTCAACCACTGCGCTGGAGCTCCCTTGTTTCTGGGGAAGTTCCACAATCTTCAACCGATTGGCATGGGATGAACACTGCACGGCTGTCAAGTTTCACGTTAAACCCCATTGCTGGAGAAATGTCTAACGTCCAATATGCAATGTCTACGACGTTGACAGCTTCGTGTAAGAAGCGCAAAAGACTTTTAGTGAACCATTTCTGGGAAACGCATCTTAGTCGATAAGTGCTGGGGACGGGGATTGGAGCAGCCGAAGACAGTGATTGCCTGGATCATCATGCGTCACAGCTCATCTTGACAAAGACTGATTTTGGAAAATGAGCACCTACGTGGACTAGGCAAAGAGAAGTTATCAACATAAAGCATGAAAGTATGTCGAAGATACCATTAGAAACTGAACAAAACTCAGTGCCCGACTGATTGAATCGAAGTGCCTGATGGGCTGTCAGGAGGCATGTGAACGCAAAGGGGCCGGCAAGGCCCGAAATCTCCTGATCGGGTCCGCCGAACCAACTGATCAGCCACGCCCGCAAATTTTGCAATCAGGGTGTCGGCTCCGGAAAACACCAGAAACATAAGCAAAGGCAGAATCAAGAGAACCACAAGAGAAAGACGCGGAAACGCCTACCAGTCCTCATGACGTCGCGTTGGCCAAGTCAACTCATGCACGGCGAACTCCATGATTCCATCCATCAATGCATCGTGCCGACCGTGATTGCTCAACGTACCATTTGATCTGCTCCGGGGGACTGGACAGGCCGCTTTCCAAGCTGCAAAATGCTGCGCCGCTGGACCCCAACGAATCAGGGCGCATGCTTACGAACAGGGTCGCCGCCAGCCGGGCAGAAATCGTTCCACCGACAGAGTCACGCTGGCCAGATACAGGCCCAAAGATTCCGATCTGCCCCAAATCCTTCCACTTCCGAGGCTGTCGACACTGGACGAACCAACGGGGAATAGTGCGGAGAGCAAACGAGTTAGGGTCAGATCTTATCCCCATATGGCCCGAAGGAGCCTTACAGACAGGGGTTCCGGCGTCCCCAAGACCAAATTTGACAGCTGCTGAAGAGCCACCCGCAAAAAGACAATGACTGGACCGCGCCATCGGGACGCAATCACACCACCGCACCACCAGACTCGGCCGGACACCGCACCACCCTCGAACTATCAACGAACAACGCACGAAAACCCAAAGAAACCAACCACACCACGCTCGGGAGAAGCAGGTATGATCGATTTTATAAATGCTTCCACCATGACTGCGATCAGAGAACCGGATCTTAGATGCACTCCAGTCCACATCGACCACACAAAAAGCAGACATCTCCAGTGTTTCAATTACACAGCATTCGGCAATCTCTCTCCAGTCTTGTACAGACACCACCACCAACCCACAGCACCTCAACCTTAACCCACCAAACAACCTTCAAAATGGTCAACCAACCCACCAGAATTCCCACCACCTCCCCGGCTGTTGCCAGGTTTCTGCCTGCTGCCATCACCGTTGGCATTGGTAAGCCTCACATTCTACGTCAACGCCCTTGGAGCAGTCTACTAACATTGTTTGTCACAGTTTCTGCCATCGCCATGAACGTCCGCTCGCAACTCATGACCGAGTCACGACAAATGGACCGCTTCTTCGCCAAGTACAGGGACCCTCAGAGCGAAGCCGCTCGCCAAAAAGTCTTTGACGGCGCCGTCGAAGACCCCCGCAAGAGCTGGTTCAACGTCCTTGGCTGGTGACTCTTTGATGATTAGAGGAGACGGAGTTTCGCGATACAACACATTTACTAGGCGTTTTTTAATGATTGAGTTCTGGATATCACGGGATGGCAAAGGCGTCATGCATCAGTTTGGCTCAATATAGCCACCTAGAGATTTGAATAGCAAGGGACGAAGCGCAGCGGCAGAGCGGAGTAGTCAGACGGAGCATTGATACCAGCCACACCACAATACATATTAATGTTGAAAGAAAAGACATCCATAAATCTTGACATTCTTACAACCCTGAACTTCTTCGTCTAGAAGGGAGTTCTGGCCCATGACATGCGGAATGCAATTCCTTGGCAAACTTCCCTCATTGGTGGATGTTACCGTGTGTAACCAGACATCCACAATCAGGCTGCGGCTCGTAGTAGAGAATAAGATCAAACCTGCTGCAGTTTTCTGTGAAAATGCCTGAGGTTTCGAAATCTCACGCCCGTCTCAATCGATCTTGATTGGGCACGACTTATCAACCCCTCTTCGCCATCCTCGTTCCCCCCTCATCAACTTCGCGCTGACATCGCATAGAATGGCATTCCGTGCCGTCTACTGCTGAAGCGCAACGTTATCGGCTACTGTAAGCATACAAGACATCGACTCGTTTGGCAAAACCGATCTGTGTTTCAGCCTAACGGCCTCTGCGATTACCCCCTTCTATTCCGGGGCACAGCGAAGTTTAGTATCCAGCGGACGCAGACGCAGCGCATCTTCAACCACAACTATGGAGGCTCTTGGCGTCCTCGCAAACGTCATAGCCGTCGTTGACCTCTCTGCCAAACTCGGAATTGTTTGTGGCGAGTACGTTAGCAAAGCACGCAAGGCCAAAGAAGACGCCCGAAAGCTCAAAGAGGAGAGCGACGCCCTTGCCCGGATTATTGGCCAGCTCCAGGATCTTCTAGGGGACGAAAGTGCCGAACAAAGTCATAAGAGACAGCTCAACGCCTCTGAAACATTCCGTCATGATGTAAAGCAATGCGAGACGATGCTCCGCGTGTTGACGGAGAGACTTGACCCTAGCAAGAACCCAAGCAGGTTGAAAATGATCGGGAACTCACTCAAATGGCCGTTCACCAGCACTGAGGTCTCTCAAAGCGTTGACAGTCTACGCCACTGGAGAGACTGTTTCTTAGCAGCCTTGCAGGTGGATCACATGTAAGTGAGGTCGTGACTAAGCGCTCGAGACAAGTTCTAACTCAACCAGGCATCTTGCGCTTCAGCGTGAAGACATAGAGGATATCCAAAGTCTACCCAGTGCCTCAGGCGCCGCTTTCGACTCCTATGATAATGACTCAGCGCGATGTTGTCACCCCGACACCAGACAACAGCTCCTTCGCGACATTTTGGAGTGGGCGGATGACCCAGATGGGAAATGCATCTTTTGGTTACGCGGCCCAGCAGGCACTGGAAAGTCCACCATCTCAAAGACAGTTGCAAAGGTGTTCGCGGACAGAGGTCAACTTGCTGCAAGCTTTTTCTTCAACAGAACACAAGAAGGCCGTAACACGGCTAAACTATTTGTGACCACGATCGCAAGGCAACTCGCTGGAAGGGTTCCTGCGCTCAAGGGTCCTATTCTCCGAGCCATAAAAGAAGATCAGGACTTGCCGGATAAATCCATGGAGTTTCAATTCTCTAAGCTGATATTGGAACCACTCAACAATATCGAGCTGTCCGGCGTCACTTTTCACGCCCTGATTCTGGTCGTCGATGCTTTGGACGAGTGCGGTTTCGAGCATCGTTCGGCGGTCGATGAGAACAGCAGCCGACAAATCATCAACATCCTATCAAGACTATCCACGGTATGCGGCATCAAAGCTAGAATCTTCTTAACTAGTCGACCCGAGGTCCCCATTCTGTTGGGGTTCCTCGAAGATGTGCCAACCAGTTCTCACCAAGACGTGGCACTACACGACATACCCGAGCCCATCATCGAACACGACATCCGGGCATTCATAGAAAGTGAACTAGGGGCTATCCGTGTGTCTCATGCCATTGCTCAAGACTGGCCCGGTGACGATGTAGTGACACAGCTCGTCAAAGCCTCTGTTCCACTTTTCATCTACGCATCTACCATTTGTAAATTCATCGACGACAGAAGACGAAGGTTCAGGCCCCAAGCACAGTTAGATAAGGTCCTGCGTCAAAGCGAAGGCTTCCGAACTGGGAGTGAAATCACATATAGGCCAATTCTGGATCAACTGGTAGAGGATCTGGAAGAATGCGAACGCAAGGAGCTACTCGCGCGGTTTCGCAACGTCGTGGGCGCCATCATATTGTTAGCGGATCCACTCTCAATCACTTCCCTTGGAGAGCTCTTGGGTCTCGAAAACGACGAGATCCGCTACCTATTGAACAGCCTCCACTCCGTCCTGGATGTGCCTGAGGATGACCAGCCAGGACACTCAGTCAGGCTCTTCCATTTGTCATTCCGAGAGTATCTGTTACAGCCCCACTCTAGCGGTGATAAGTCTTAAATCTGGATCGACGAAAGGTCTACACACAAGAACCTTTTCGCCTGCTGCTTGCAAGTTATGGGTGATCAATCCGGTTTTGGGTTGAGAAACGATCTTTGACGACTGGATGAGCCGGGAGTGCGAAGAGACGAGATCCCCCGCGAAAGGATATACCAGCACATCCCTCGGTCTCTCGAATATGCATGTCGCTACTGGGTCATGCACCTCAGAGAGTCCGGTAGTGGACTACATGTCCAGGACGCCCATGAGTTCCTTACACGATACCTGCTCTATTGGTTCGAAGCAATGAGTTGGATGAATCTCCTTCACCAGGCACCCCGAGATTTGCTAACTCTCGAAGACATGTTCTCCAGCCAAGGGAGTAGCATGCAGTCAGAAGCCTTGCTATTTCTGAGAGATGCCCGGCGTTTCCTTGCCGAAAACGAGCACGCGATTAATCTCGCACCCTACCAAGTTTATGTGTCCGCCTTGATCTTCGCACCCAAGGCTTCGTTGGTTAAACAAAAGTTTCGAGGCGAGATTCCAGGCTGGATCGTCAAGATGCCAGAAGTTGCCGAAAACTGGGACGTGACGAGCCGAACTATTCACCAGTACAAGTCACCCGTCCAAAACGTAGTATGGTCTCATGACGGACAATACGTTGCCGTCCCCACCTTTTATGAGGTCGACATCTGGAATGTTACTTCTGGAGTTTTATTGGAAAGGAATACTGACATGAGGTACATCAATTGTATGACTTTCACAAACCGTGGCATGCTTATCATTGGTCTCAGTTATGATGGCATCCTCCTGTGGGATTGGGTGGCGGGCCTAGAAACCACGTTTTCCATTGGACACGGTTTCTCTGAAGTTCTTACCGTGTCGGCAGCAACAACTGGCAAAGTCTTGTGTTTACTGAGCGATGGGAACGTCTGTCTGATGAGCGAGACCTTTGATATCATTCACACTTGGTATACCTGTTGGCAACCCTCTGCGGGAGATACGAAAAGAACGCGGTCGAATCTTCACCTTTATTACCTGGGCCGAGTTCATTTCACACGCAACGGGAAGACCATGGCTGTAATCGACAACGAGCAGTCAAATTCTATTCCTGTCCACGATGCGGAGTCAGGCGCGCTCATCCAAAGTCTTTCGTCCCCAGAAGGACAGATGTTCTATGAGGTCACAGCATCTGACGAAGGCCTTCTAATAGCAACGGGTGGTTCAGTTTCACCTCTAGGAGAACGGCCCGACTGGTCTGATGTCATCATGGAGGCCTTCATTTGGGATTTGAACGGGACGAACGCTTCAGCATCGCATTCTTCGCCACGTGTAATCAGCTCAGTCCACTGGTAAGGGCCGACAATTAACCAGCATGGTCTTTTAGCATACACTGGCGACTATTCGTATCTCAAGATATGGAATGTTTTGAAAGATCCACCAGAATTAGTCCACACATTGGACTATGGCACATGTGTTTCCTTTTCCCCGGATGGACAGCACCTTATTGCAAAATTTAATGCAGTAAAGATTATATACACCAACGCCCTGGACTTGGTCAAGCACGCTTCAAATTGTACCACGGACATTGACGATAGTGTTGATATGGATCGACAGTCTCTGTCCCCAAATGGTCTGCGTCTAGCCATTGTGTCATCGCGCGGCAAAGTTACATTGTGGCACATTGATAGCGAGAACGAGGAAATGGGATCCGAAGTTGCGATTCTTGACACACCATGGGAGGTTTCAACCAAGGTAGACCATGAATTTGCAACTGCTTGGAGCTCAAATGGTGCTTTTCTTGCGGTTGCGTCATCTGCCGGGTTTGTCGTCTACGATTGCTCAGCCCACCATCCGGCTATATTGAAGTCCGTAAGCTACGAATACGAGGCTTCAAGCTTAGATGATACTTTGAGACAGTTGCTTTTCTCACCTTGTGGCTCGTCTATTGCCATAACCCACGGAGATGTGAAAAGCGTTTCCTTATGGAACTTTCCGTCTTGTACTTGCCGTTAGCTACAAGCACTTCAGGATCCGAACGATTGCAAATCTGCAATGACGATTAAATTCAGTCCCGACGGAGCGCAATTGGCTGTATCACACGGCTACAATGCAAGGCTCATGGATTCCAATACCGGTGCCATAATTTGGACTCGCAGTTTTGCGTCTTTAAATGTGAGATTTATTGATTCTCTAGCGTTCAGCTCGTCCGGTGCCTTAATGACAATCAAGGCGTTTCAGATCGATCGTAAACCGTCGAGTATTGAGTCTGGCTCGGGACGATCCGTCAATTCTGAGCAGAAGAGCTTCGACAAATCACCTGTAAACATAGAGGAAATGACTGAGTATGGTTCAGTAAAACGCCTATTTGTCACTAATGTCGCGAACGGAAGACACGTCGCCACTATGAGCCAAGGAACACGTTTAAAAACAAATGCATCCTTTGGAGAAATGGCATACGCTCCCGGGGATGATCTTGTTGTCAGCCAGGACACTTGGTTTTCAAACGTCAACATCGCAAGGAAAGAGTCATCAAACCCCATTCCACAAAACGTTCCTTGCAATATCATGATGGTCCGTTACGGCTATGGGGAGCGGTGGTTGACTAAGTTCGGCCGGAGATTGGTACACTGCCCATCGTCGATCGCGCACGGCGCTGCCCCGCAGAACTGGGTCCTATTCCCTCATCGCCTGCACGGATATGATTCAACTAGAACAGCGCCCTTCACGATTGAGTTGACTTGTTCACAGTGTTCTTCATAGTTTCAATTCAACCCTAATAAGCAAGTGCAATAGGGCGGTGGTCATTCTATGCAGGCGTCATCTGTCCGTACACGACTTCGACAGCATCAAGCACAGTGGTAGCGGCCCATTGCAATGGCTTTTCATGGCGCAATAGACTAGTAATCTTCCAGGGCGAACGTTCCTCACTCTCGTAATGTTCACTAAATGAAACAATATTGTTGTCCGAGGTCTGTATTTTCCGCTCCTGATGTCTTGCGTTCGACACAGCCGGCATCTTACCTCAATACAAGAACTGGCTAGACAGCATGTTGTATACATCGCTAGCTGACCCATTCCCAAATGCTTGATACACCAGAGTGTCGTTCATGCCAGTAATGTCATCCCCGAAATCTGCGAGCGCTATGGTTGATTCCTGTCGCGGCTCAGGGAATGATTCGGAATTCCAACTCTGGGTTGTACCTCGACCCCCGAGCCCGGGTGGACTGAACAGACCTTGTTCAGAATCTCTGATATCTAGGCCGTTGGGGCCAGCCGCATCAACACCATAAAAAGACCCAAGGCTCCAATCACATGATTCCAGACGAGCATCGGCGTTAGTATTCTCCCTGGCGCCTTCTCTTCTGTTATCCTGGCGCACTCGAGCCGTTCTCATGCGTTGCAACATCTTCTCTAGTCCTTGTCCGATATGCTTCAGCATGTGCTTATCTGAAGCCACTGCCTCTTTTAGAACAGATATCATTTTGTTCAGGAGCCGTAAAGCATTGGCATAATCGATATTGAGTCCCATTATGCTGCCCCACCTAGCAGCAACCTTCATCAGGAAGACGCTTGCGAAGGCAATCATGGTGTGGACGTATAGAGGCGTTCCGACTAGGGCTCTCCTCAAGTCCTCCTCTTCTTGAACCAGTGTCAGAATGCTCGATGCAGCTGAGATTGCCATATTGGCGAACTCTTTGCGCTCGGTCGACAACTTGTCTGAGTTGATCGATACACCGCGGATCGCGAGGGAGTTGATCTGAAGCTTGGCGAAGTATGAGTAGAGAATCACACCCTTGTTTGTAAATTGTCCGATGAAGGGGCTGGGTGGTTGCCGAGGGTACCATCGCATACGCCAGTGATCAACTTCGACGTTGAAGCTTCGGAGGGTGTCAAAGTCGGATTCAGCAAGCATTGCCGCAGAGATCTTCGGCGGTCTTTCAACTCCTGCTGGCTCATTGACCTTTGTCGCTTTCCCATTTGCTGCACAAGCCCCTTCCATGGTCGGAAGAGGGCGTTCAGAGAATCGTTCGTAGACACGGGTCAGAATCTGCATCAGGTTGACTTGGCTCAGGATTCGGATGTCGAGCACACCAGAGAAGGAGCTGGCTAGGAACAGTTCATACTCCCGTAATTGTACACTTTCCGCGACAGTAGGAGGTCGACCATAAGCAATACTAAAGTGACGGTCGCAAACGTAAAGCATATACCAGAGCCTTGCCCTCAGGAAGTGTTCCTTGTCGCCCTCGAGTGCGTGTATAAAAGATTGGTGGATGCCGAGCTCAGTCGCAATACGTATAGCATGGCCTGTGAGCTTCCAAGAGTGCTCTGATAGCCAGAAAGCTGATATACACAGGCCACGGACATCGTCGACCGAGTGATAGCGAGAAAACATAGAGGATGACACAAGCGAGAGGAACTCGTTGTAGCAGACGTCGAAGATGTCAGACGATGTTGGTATGTGCAGTGCAGTGACCGTCAGGATGGTGGCCGCGAGGAGTTCGGACGATCTTCGTACTGATGTCCATGATGGATGAACCTGTTCGAGACCAACCCAAAGGTAGTGATTCAGAGTCTTGAGGAAGCTGCGACGAAAACTGATCAGCTAGTTGCCCCCCAGCAGCGACTGCGAATACGATGCCGGATAACCGTTGAAAAAGAGGGGCGCGGCACTTCTTACATGTTGTACAACTCCTCAGCCTTCTCTTCAGATATAGCTCCACGGGAAATGAAATCGTCCACCTTGCTGTTGTCTGATGGTACTGGTTGCGGCGTGTTGGCTTGGTTACTTCGAACATTCCTCAGTCGCGTCACCTCGTAGAGACTACCCATCGGTTCCTCCAATGTCTCAGGGCCGTATTGTTGATCATCATCAGAAACTGGGTTGGGCGAATCCTCGCGGGTCATGGCCAATCGCGTGTTGGCATCCCGCCCCCCTATTCCCCGCGCGGAGCCATCCCGCGCGGACAACGATTTGGGCGGACTTGGGATTCTTGGTGTCGTCCCAACATGTAATGTATGCCGACTGTCGGTTTTCTCTGTTCTCTCTGGTTGCTTCTTGAGCAGGTGATTCTCGATGGAAGTACTGCTTTGTTCTCTGCCCAATACAGCATCCAATGACTGCCTCATTTGTTGGATCTCCTCTCGCATGGCATCTATCTTGTCTCTTTGTGTTGTCAGTATCGGCGTACACAAGGACGTTGAGGTGGATCTCACTCGTAATTTGGCGAGCTCTGAGCTCGCGACTCCTCCGAGTCGGCCTGGGCCATATATGTTCTTTTGATGATGCAGTCAACCTTTCGTCTGAGGCAATGCCTGCACTTTCTGTCCCCAGGAAATATCTCGCATTTCATTTTCAGTTTTTTGCATTCGAGGCCTAACATTTTGTTAGCATCAATATTCGGAATTATTGAACAGAGGCACTTACAAGCCTTCGGCTTTCTTCCAGGCCCCGAACCTACTCTACGCCCAGGAGGCAACTTGACAGCTTCGAGGCTTGGGTCATTTGCTGCCTCATTGTCGCTATGGCTCGAAGTCGATGCCTGTCGTACAACGCCTGATTTTCCGTCATTTTCCGTCGATGATGTCGATTTCATCTTTGTTGTTGTCGTGATCGTTGTCGACGAGGGCGTCTCACAGCAGCTCAATAATCAGTGGGAAATCGGGAAATCGCCCGAGCTTTTGAACGGTCCAGACGAACGCCACGGTCTTAGCTATCTACGCTATCTGACTAATTCCCTACGCCTGCAGCAACTTAGTATACGTATGCGGAATGGGGAACGCGTTGGGGATCGGGGAGCTTGCCCTGTGCTGAGGGCGCATGGTTTCAGATTTCCAAGCGATCTTCACATCAAGGCGACTTGGAGTATACAGCTCTGCGCCCGCTCATGACGCTTTGTGCATCCGGCCGTTTGCCCTAGGCGAGCGGTGTTTACCGTACAGGCGGAGGTCGTAGTGGGCTTGGCGATCTCTTACACTCGTTCTCGCTAGAGTCTAAGTGGCTCTGGCCAATCGGAGGTCTTGCCTGTAATGTAGAAAGTGTTATTTTCGTCAGTCGGCAGCCATAGTTCGGCGAGACTTGGCCAGTGCTCGCGTAGATGGCAAACGTAAGGTTCTTTTGCCCGTGAAGTGGGCGGTGTTCCCCAGCTAGAGTCCACACGAGGCAGATTCTGCATGCCGATTGGGTTCGGGATGATCCCCAATTCGAGCGGCTCAGCAACTTCTTCGGTGTGACTCAACATTGCTCCATAATAGAACTCTTCGTGTACTAATTCTATCAAAGCCTCCTAAGAGTCTAGTCGAAGCTGTTGCCGCTGTAATGCAATCTTGCGCGGGAGACAGGTTTGACTTTGTGCAGTAGACACAAGAACCTGATTGTTTCACGATGAACTTGCGACAGCACCTCTTTCCCACGAGGGGACCAACGTGTAGAGTGATTATCGGAATACTGAAGAGGCTTCAAATTCTGTATATCGGAAACTAGCTGTAAAAGTTGTGCGTGCGGCCTGGGGGCGTTATTGATTACGACTAATCATAACATTTCCCCGATTTTCCGGCCGATATCCCGGTATATGACCGTCGCGCTTTGTGATCCCATACATTGTCTCTGCCGAGATCCAAGGCTAGTCGAGCCACGTGTGCCTAGCTATGGCACATATCCATCACGACCGATCACCGCCAGTAGTATAGACACGAGAAGCACCAGTTAACGCGCCTCGTTGGCTTCCAGGATGTAAGTGATATTATCACGGATTTTCTTAGCTGGGTGATTTAAGCCTTTCTGCACAGCCGTAGAGATTGAGATGAACCCTAGACCTGGGCATCGTCTATCACGACCACGACCTTGCCCGCCGAGGCTCCAGATTCTGACAACTCGTAAACTTGCCGCAAACTCTGCAGCCCGCGGAATACCGTTGTCTCAGCTGCCACATTTTGATCAACAACAAAGTTCACTAGATCCGCAAGCTCTGCTCGGCTGGAAAGATTAGACCCCATCACCCTGATGTCTCTAAATATCATCTCTTCAAACGGAAAGTTGACTCGCTTGGGCTGCGCCACTTCAACCACTAAGCCGTGCCCTTTGGTAATGATCATGCCCGTCTCAAGAGCCGGCTCGGCATCGCTGAGCACGATTGTTGCATCGCACAAGTCGTCGCCCTTACCGGCACCCCGTGACCCTATCAGACTTCGAACCTGCTGCACCATCACGTCTTTGCCAGGTCTGACATCCACGGCTGCGGCACCAGCTTTTCTTGTCAGTTCCAAAGCAACATCCCGTGCTTCAATTCCCACGACGTTGATGCCTTGCTTCTTCGCAATCTGGATTGCAAGATGACCCAAGCCACCTCCGCTGCCAACGATGCCGAGCCAACCCCCTGGCCTGACTGCTGCTCTCTTGACAGCACGCCAGCTAGTGCACCCGGCACAGGTCAGTGGGGCCGCCTTGATGAAGCTCAACTCATCCGGTATTTTCACCGCAAAGCGGTCATCGAGCACGGTGTATTCTGCAAAGGCTCCGGGTGAAGAGATGCCAGCGTAGCCTTTGTTGAACTTGCAGCTTAGTTGGAACTCCTCTGGTCCATTACAGTCCATACAATCGCCACATGGACCCCGAATTCCAATGGCGATGATTCTGTCACCGACAGCAAAGCTCTTCGCAGCTTCCAAGCCGAGTGCAACAATGGTGCCAGATGGCTCGTGGGATCCTGGGAGGCCACTTGGCTTGTCATGGAAAATGCCGTTCAATACCATTATGTCGGTATGGCAAAACGACGCGACCGCGACTTTGATGAGGATATCATGATCACCGAGCAATTCGGCGGTGGGGGCGGGAATATCTTCTAGTGACCACGGAACACCGAACTACACTTCAGGGTCAGTAAATACAAGGACATCAATAAGAAAAGGATACTTCGGAGCTCTTCACTTGTTTGACCACGGCAGCTTTCATTATATTGTCAGTGGGAACTGGCTTCGTGAAATTTTGAGGCATGTGTTGAAGTCTGTTACGGCTGACTAGGAGTAATTGGAAGCTTCAAAGTAAGTTATGTTGCATTTCAATGTCGTTGATGTATGAGCATCAGACGGTGTCTTACGGCAACTGTAAGCGCACGCCACTTGGGCTTGGCTGCAGGAATTAGCCCAACAGGTGACGTCGCCGGTGCCGACCCAGCTGCATTAATAATGATCTGTATTCACAGCGAAGAGTACATTAATTAGGCCAAGGGCTTTCATAAGTAGCAACCTCGCTAGCGATTTGCTTTCCCCGCCTGGGCGAAAACCTGTCGAGTAAGCAAATTCCGCAGTGTCTGAGTCGGGAACAGTGCCGAAGTTTACGTCTTAGGCACCACCTCAATGCTCGCAGAGGCCTCTCGGCCGATAGCCCGGTCGAGAGCTAAGATGATCCTATTGGTGAAATCCCTGTTGCTCGTAGATGGTCGGTCGTATTCTCCACAAGGCCCGAGCCAATCATCTCTGTTCAATTGCGAGCCGGCCAATCGCCAATAAGTTTCTTAAATCCGAATGCGATCAAGTGTCCTCCGGCTTGTCCCACGTCGCCATTTACTCTTTGAACCTTGCTTCTCAACATACCAGCTTCGAAGAGTTTGCCATAGTTGAGTAGTACTCATCTCTGAGTCACGAACATACTGCATCTCCTGAAAGATCCCAGAAAGCGTTGATTTGTCATGGTGGACGAGACCCGCGTGCGGGGCGTATCGAAGCCCAAGTCGCGGGCAATTGTCCGCGTAAAGACGGGTTGCAAAACCTGCAGGTAAACTATACCCTGCCGCTCTTCATGCAGGAAGTGGTCAAGATTACTAATGTAGAGCAGAGCCCGCAAAATCAAGTGCGACGAAATGAAGCCTGCCTGTCGAAAATGTATCCTGACTGGCAGAACCTGTGATGGATACGGCATCTGGGACCGGGGAAACCGGTCAATGAGACCCACAGCACCAAGCTCGTCCATTTCCGTCTACAACATCCACACTGGAGCCATCAGCCAGCTGTCCGATTTTGAAAAGAGACAGTTTGAATGGTTCACGAGGCGGACCATAATCAAACTGACCGGAGTTTTCCGCTCCGGCTTTTGGCACAGTCTCGTCCTGCAGATGAGCTCAACCGAGCCGGCGGTGCTGCATGCCATGCTAGCACTAGCGTCCGCACATGAGATTGAGCTCCATGACTCCAAGACCGATGAATACAGGCCTATAGACCAAGGTGTCCGAGAATGCAATATCCTACGCCATTACAACAAGTCCATCACCTTGCTGAACACAAATCTGTCTTCACAAAATCCGACGTCTATCCGCGTGGCCATCGCGTCTTGCATCTTGTTCGTCTGTGTAGAGTTTGTGCGACGACGCTTCGAGACTGGGTATGCTCATCTCAGAAGCGGACTCAAGTTGCTTGAACAACTCCCACGTCCATCAAAGGACGCCAACTCCGAGATTTGCCTCCCGTCAGATGCCCTCGTCGAAGCGCTCCTGCGCCTCGATGTCCAAACAAGGCTCGTCAAGACCGCCGCGCTACAGAACGCGAAGCTTTCTGCACAAATACCACGATTAGATATCACAGTCTTGACTTCTTTCGTTTCACTTGACGGGGCGAGGCAGCAGCTGGACACCATTCTCTCAGCCGTCTACGAACTACAAGAGCGAGCTCGGCGTCAAACCCCGGAGCACAACGTTTCGCACGCTTTTGAGCTCCTCAGTGCCCAGCAGCGAATGAAGAATGACCTCAACGTCTGGCTCCAGACTTTCAATCGCGTCAAAGGCAGCTGGTGGACGAATTTATCATCCAAAGAAAAGGTTGCCTACCACCTGATCCCGATTTACCACACCATGGCCCAGATCATTGTTGGTACGACTCTGCAACCAGCAAACGAGTCGATATATGACAAACATCTCCGGCAATTTGAGTCCATCATAAGCCTGTCGCAAAGCCTACTGACCTTCGCTCTGCCAATGATGGTTGAAGAGATGGCATACGGACTCCATCCTGGTTTCAATTTCACGGCCGATATGGGCATCATCCCTCCTCTCTACTTCGTTGGCCTGAAATGCAGAAACCCTTACATCAGGCGCCAGGCTATCGGGGTTCTGGCGACAGATGAACATCAGGAGGGAATATGGGACGCGCCAATGGCTGCTGCAATTGCTTCGGAAGTCATGCGGCTGGAAGAAGCCAACTTCTACGACGATCTCTTTTCCAAGAGCTGCGACGCCGCCTCGACAGCGCCAAAGAAGTGCAAGAGCGGGACACCCGTGCCGCCAATACTGCCAGAAAATTGCAGAGTTCGTGACATTCAGGTACACTTGCCAGACGGGGCTGCCGATGATTTAATAATGAGCGGCAAGTCCATGCGCTCCAACGGCAGTCTCGAGTCTTTCACAAGACGTTTCAACGTGAAGGATAAAATTTGGCAGTCTGGATTTGGGTGGCCTACTTCAGCATCTTCACAACTGCCCCCTTCTTCTGATTCTTCGAAGGCGTCATACAGCCTTGATATTGGCCTTGATTTCTTTTAATGATTGTCGAAACAACTTTAAACCACTTCATGTTCTCTTTCGGCGTATGGCGCAAGAGTCATTGTCTATCAAATAGGCGTACGTACTATTTATCCGTGAGGATATTACAACATATCCAGCCGCTTCAAGGCTCAATACCTCTAAGCTCTGCTTCCGTCCAATCCCACAACTTTCTTGCGAGATCCTCGTCTTTTGAAAGTGCGCTGCCCTTCCCTGGAACACCAACAGGTACATAGTACTCCCCATTCAGAACGCCATCTGCGGTGGCGGCCCACAACTGGTTCTTCGCCCCTTCTTCTACACTAACTCCGATCAGAGGAACCACAACTTCCTGGAACGCCTTGATCAGAAATGGCCCACTCTCTGAACGTTGCAAATCCGTCTTGACGGTTCCAGGATGGCTCGAGACAGTAGTCCATTCGGGGCTTCGGCGAGCCATCTCACGCGCGAACAACAGGTTCGCAAGTTTGCTTTGGCCATAGAGAGCGTTGGGGGAAAGGCCGCTGTTACCTCTTTTTGGCTTGAAGCTGTCGAACTGCAGTCCTCCCGACGGACCAAACTTATGCGCCACAGAGCTGACCAAGACAACTCGGACCTCGCTGCTCTGTGCAGTTTGGTGCAATAGGGGAGTCAGAAGCTTGACGAGGAGGGCGTGGCCGACGTGATTGGTACCGAAGTGCATCTCGCATCCTTCCTTGGTCACACTGCCGACAGGCACATTCATGACGCCGGCGTTCAAGAGGAGGATGTCGAGACGAGTGGCGGATGCCAAGAAGATGCGAGCGGCCTCTCGGATAGATGAGAAGGAAGTCAAGTCGAGCGGAAGGAATTTGACGGACACAGAAGGATCCAGTCGCTTGATTTCATCGATGACGGCTTCGGCTCTTGACGCACTACGGGCTGCAAGCCATATTTCTGTGGGTTGGTGTTTCGCAAGGTCCAAAGCAGATTGTCTTCCTACACCGTTGCTGCCGCCAGTGATGAGGATTGACTTGCCCTTCAAAGACTTGATGTCCTTTTCCGGTGACCATGTAGTATTGCTGTGCGGCATTCTGCGGAGACTGTTGGCAAGACTTTGAAGTTGATCGGGAGGAGAGTTATGCAAATTGAAGTATGTGCTACAGGAGGCTTCTAAGTGACGGCAGGTTGACGGACACATATATCAGTAAACTACGTGCTGTGTATAGACTTCATTTTCCGTTGCTCTACAGAACCCGAATACGGATCCCCGTCTTGCTTAACCCCGGTAGCAGATGGGCGGAGGCCATTGAAGTCAAAACTAGCCTTCCTACAGCCAATCACGGAATAGCAATTGCGAGCGGACTATGAAAGCCACGCACAGACAGTCACGATGGCGGACTTTGGCTGTGACAGCAATGTCCGCCAGTGGATTTCATAGGTCAGATCATGGAGGACGAACGCACTGTCTGTTGAATGATTTCAATTCGTTTGATGCTAATCTCTGTGGTATAATGCTCGCTCATAATCCGGAAACAGAAGGAAAACTCTAGCAGGTATCATTCTTCGCCTCCGTACGTCAACATTCATGTGACCGGCACATGAGTATGCAAGAAAGGTATGTCATATCCGTCAAATTCGTGTTCGCATAGTATGTGTTGTTGTCGCTGCGTCAAAGATCAAGCTGCCGGCTTTACCAGACAGTCGCCACAGCAGCCAGAATCGCAGACCAAAGGAGAATTCTCGTCGGGGACAGAGAGCTGGCGAAGTTGCCCTTCTGGCCCTCTTCAAAGCCTCGCTCATCTCCACCCAAGTAATAAGCTCCAAGCTCGGTGAGGCCGCCGTCGTCGTCGAAGAGCGAGACCTTGTTGCCAGTCCACGCGTTGGCTTCATCCTTGCGGAAGGCGCCAAACCACGCGTAACCGTCGACGTAGTCAGCGTCGTCGAGGAACGACAGACTCTGGTTCATCATGGCAAAAGTGGCATCGGTGTCTTGCTGTGGCAACGCCATTTCGGTGATCCAGTACTTCAAGTTCGGCGAGGTCTCGTTGTAGAAATCGCGCAGCGATCCGAGCCAATTCTGCAGACCGACATAGTCACCGTACCAGTGCACGGCGATAAAGTCAGTCGGACAGCCGTTATCGTCAATGTCGTAACACGACTCATTGAACTTGCGCAGCCACTCGAGACCTTGCGGAGAGCCGGTCACGACGGGGTGACTGATATTCCACTTGCGAGAGTCCGAGTCGCGGAGCGGGAGGATGTGCTCAATGTAGGCTTTGGCGGCATCCTCGGGGTCGATGCTGCTGCCACCTGATCCGGTGGTGCCGTCTGGCTCGTTGAAGGTGAGGAGGTGGGTGGACGATGATGGGAGGTTGTTGAGTCTTGTTGTGAGTGACGAGTCCTCCGCTTCCTCGACACCGTGGATGAGGGGTACAAATGGAATTGAGTTGTTGAGGTTGGTGGCTGGCCATGTTGACCATGTGTAGTACCAGCTGATCAATGACTTCTCTGAAGTCAGAAGTTGGTTGTCGGATGCGTGGTCGTCGCCCTTGTATGCAAGACCTCGTTTTGATGATAGGTCTGACTGTGCAAGTGCCGATGAAGCAGCTAGCGAAACTAGCAGAGTCTGTGTCGTTCGTCTCATTTTTCTCTCAGTGGTTCGTCAATTGCTGGATCTCGCAGACGGTGGTTGCGGGGGATGATCCTTGTGTGATCAATGTAGTTACACACACGGGATCGGATGCAGCCGACAGAAGTCTGGGACCCTTCATGCAGATATAGTCAATTATTTCCAAAACTACAGAAACACCATCAAGGCCAGCGCGGGCCGAAATTCCAAGGCCATTGCTTTGCAGGCGCTTCAGTCATTGACCTCATTCGATGCCATCACACTCTTGGCGGGGGCGTGAGAAACATGACGTCATGCTCCCTTGGCCGGAGGAGTTCTTGGTTGGTGATGAGTTGGCCAAGGTTAACCCCCTGATCAGCCACACCGCAAGACCCCTAACGCCGACAGGAGATTGGGCGAACAGGGGTTCAAGCGAAAGTCGTCATGGCGGTTCGAGAATCCAGACTCATGTCTGGCAAGTGGTGCCACCCTGCCTGCGTTGTTCATGTTGGTTCATCAGGCTGGCCGTCTGCCAAGTCGGGGCTTGCTGAGAACTTGCAAACGACCCCGGCTCTATCATTTGGACATCTGGGTCATCCTTTGGAAATGTGTCGGAGTTCATCATTGTGTTTTCCCAGGAACAGCGCAGCATGACCTTCCAAGGCAATCGCAGGTTGCCAAGATAACGTACGTCCTCTTTTTGACATCTTTCGACTTTCTCCATCCGTTAGAAGAATAGGCAGACGGTCTCTTCTTACTCTAATCAATTGAACCGTCCGGCGAATGAGGCCCAGTCCTCCGATTGGGAGCCCCTTGCGGACTGTTCAGATCCGGGATAAGTGGGTCTCAACGACGGTCTGGCACCGATAGCTCCGGCGTGCTGCCACACGGCAGCATGGGATATTATTGACGTGCCCGATTAAAAATGGACGCATTCACATTTATCAAAACATTGGCTGAACTCAGCTGTCGTCAGCTTGCGCCAGCTGTTCATATTAAGACAGGCGTGAAATCGATTCCTTGTAACGCCGTTGATTGGTCCGCGAAGCGAACACCATAAGCCGAATGGCCGGTGCGCTCCGAAAACATATCCTCCGCATCGTCAACAACACATGAGACTACCTTGAATAAAGCAACCCTCAAAGATATACTGGCAAGATGGACAAGCCTAACAACGGCGGCCGCTTGCGAGTTACCGAGCTGCCTGCAGAGATCTTGAGAATTATCTTGTCTCACTCAGCCGATATTGGCAGTCTGGATTCGACAGTCCACTCCTGCGGCACCTTGTTTCACGCGTTTTACGCCTTCCCAGCGCCCATCGTCACAGCGATTGTCCAGCGAGAGATCGGGAAGGACTTGCTCTTTGAAGCTGCGCGCTTCACAAGAGCCTTAAACCTCTTGCGGTCTCAGGATCGCGTGGTGGTAGCCAACATCTCATTCGCCGAGTTCCTACGTCGGGACCAAGAAACACCTCATCATTTCCGCTGGACTCTGCATGAGGCCTACTCTGTAATCCAACTGCATGAGATCGTGAAGTCTTTATCATTGAGGATCGAATCAGAGATATTCGCACGTATTCAATCCATCCACCCCCACGTGGAGATAAAGCCCGCCTCCAGCACAGAGCTCCTCCGCATTCAGCGGGCGCTGTATCGATTCGAGACCTATCGAATCTTGTTTCCTCAGCATCGGGATCTTGAACACGATTACTCAGACAATGGATCAGATAACATGGACGATCTAGATGGTGGGATGAAGGCGCAAATGCAGTTCCTTGCTGGCAGCCCTCCATGGGAGAATGAACAGCTTGGCTGTATTTACGAGTCACTTTGGCGCCTTATTGCCCAAGGTAGGCTTGAGCCCCATTGAAACTAAAGTTCTCGATTTGAAGTTCATAGGTGGAACCCTATGTTCGACAGAGCCCCATTCGTTTCATTGTTGCTGACCAAGGTACTATCTATGAATAGTGTATAACGACCTGGCTCTACACAGCATCAAAGGCCGTTGCACTGCTCGTTACTATGGGGACGCACGCATTGAATATCTACTAGCACGAGGGCTAAAAGAGATAAATGAGATTTTACTTTGCAATACCTGGGCGAAACGATATGATCTACCGGGATTTGACCCACCTGACGAACCTGTCTGCGACTTCGGCGGCTTCTTACGCGAAACATTCGAATACTACGAAGGCCAATGTTTGATCTAGTACTCTCAAATGACGGGGGCCCATAAAGACACTCACTATCCAGTCGGCCGGGATACAACTGAAGACGGGCCACGTAGGACCTGGGACTGGGTGACCCAAAGATGGTCAGGGCAACCCAACTTTGAAGCTCGCAAGCGAATCGTCCTGGTGATGGAGACAGCTCGTCTCAGAGCCTGCGGCTACGTCTTTTGGGATGAAGAACGAATGGTTGAGCTCGGTTGGATGAATCCCACATCAATGGACTGGCACAGCGACGCGCTCAGATTCATTGACAACCCGCCAACATAGCATGAGTTTTGACGAGGTTGATTTGGGGGAAGTTCTGTCAGCACCTTTTGGCAAAGGGCTTCGTGGGTACTGAAGCGGTGGAGTAGGCCATATGAATCCCATGTGGGGGAAGAGGGATGCATGGCTAAGACCGTGGTTGAAAGCAGAAGAACCTCAAACCATCATTATTCAAGGGCAACAGGGATTTCCATGCGTAAATGCGGCTCACAGTCTTATCTGCCTCCATTGGGTAGGGTGGTACCGAAACGGTCAGCTGGAGGAGGGTCAAGAGATGTTCACCCAAATAGTTCCATCGGTAAGGTATGGTTCAATCTTTCGCGTCTTTGACATTAACGCGAAGAATTGACATGGACAACTCGCATGCGACCCAGTTCCTTATGCTTACTGTCACAAGAGTGTGTATGAGGCAGTCATCATAGAGGATAATTGAATGAGTGTATTGACCAATCCATCGTAATGATGATAATGGTGATGATGATAAAAGAAGGAAAAGTCGGTGTGTTCTCGCTGGAATCCGACATCGGAATATTCGGAGATATAGGTGTTATATGCATACCTTGGATATGCAATCCTTGTGCCTGACATATCCATATTCGGATAGCTTTATCTGACACTTACTTTGTTACTTGATTCGCGTTGACAGGGTTAGGCGCGCGCCTTCGATCCTTCTAGCCATTCTTGTTGGCCTTAGCCCATCCGACGCCCGCGTCCAAGTCGCACTGCAGTTCCGTCAGCACACACTGTCGCACCTTCTGAAAGACTGTTGGGGGCTAGACGGCGTACAAAGTGAATCAACACTGTCCTTGACATCGAACATGTCGGTTTCGCTTATATGGCCCGCCCGGGCGTAATGTTACTCTCTTCTGAGCTGCTTAATAATGCGGAGTGTTCCTCCATGTACAACGTTAGGGGATGGCAGCCCCTAAAAGGCGAGCTGGGGTCCGCAAAGCGCTCGGAGAATAAAAGGTTCGCCTGTTGAATTGCCGCCTCCCGTCGCCAAGCGAGCGTTCCTGTCGATCAGAACCTATTGCGCACTGCGATTAAATCTCGGCAGTGGCAGGCAACACTCAGAAAGCCACATATAAGCATCCCAAAGTCCCTTATTCTGACTGCCTGAAAACACAGCTAAAGATTTCCCTGCATAGCCCCCACGACGGTGGAGCAAGCTGACATATTTCACGCCTTTAAAATTAGCTTATGGGGCCCCTTGATGCTTACGGGTTGCATTGATGGCCGCTCCCAAAGGCAGTGCCATCCCCCTCAATAAAGTAGCCGTGGATTGATTTTAGACTTTTGACATGGGTGTTTTAGGCGGCTAGAATCTAAGTTGAGGATCCTTCGCCAGGCACAGAACCAAATATCCTACCAAAGTCCCTGTTCTTTACCAAAGAAGCTCGATCCTTCGACGTTCGATCCACATCAGCCCCCAAAATTCATCTCGACATCAATTAATCTGCTAGGCATCGCGATTATGGCCGACAGCCTTACCGGGTTCGAGACTCAAGCAGCCATTGTGATCTCACCACCAAAGTCCCCTCCACGTCAATGTTCAAGTTAAATAAGATCCAATATTGCCACTCCTCATCCTTAACTCTCACACATCAACACAGCCTCAAGCTTCAGCAACCATCACATTCTTTCTCAGGACCATAATCCTTGCTTTCCCTCTTTCATCAGCCTGATACGCCACAGAATAGTCCTCGATCATGAAGACTTATGCCACTCTTTTGGCCATTGTGGCCGCTTCCAATGCCTCGCCGCTTGGCGTGTCCGTCAAGCGGGACGCCTTTGATAGCAAGGATGCCATGTGCAAAGGATGGGATCTCACAACCCCCGAGGGCGCCGACAAGCTCTGGGAAGACACCTACTCTGGAGCATCACTTGACCTCTTCATCAAGACTCAGTGGGGTAAGTATGCAGCTCTCTATCTTGATATGACCCATCATGTTAATCGATGTATAATGAACAGAACACGAGAACTCTTGGGTGAAGAACCTCGAAGACTTCGTCTCAGGTGGCACATCGGGCAAGTCTGGTGCCGCCGGCTGCTCGGCACTTGGAAACGAGTGTAAGCCCTTGAACGACATGACATGCGATGACCAATACGACGCATACGGCAAGACCCCTATTGGCAAGAACTCCTACTGGATCTTCCAAGCGGTTAAGGGCATGCATGCTAAGTTCAACGAGCTGAACCGCCAGCTCACGAAGGAGACTCTCATCAGCGGTCTGCAGATCGGCCAGATGGTGACCGACTTCCAAGGAAACCAGGATGACCCTGGCGACGTCCTTGGATGGCTTTCTGCCGCTGCTTCGATGGGTGGTGCGATTGGAGGTCTGGTTCCTGGAGCTGTAAGTCTGCCAAATTCTGATGAGCCTGTGAGGTTTTCAGTACCCTTGCTAATACATTACCACAACAGGGAACTGCCATTGCTGGTGGCTTCGGTATGCTCAGCGGCATCTTCTCTGGCCTCGCCTCCAACAGCGCCGACGAGATCGACCAAGGCTCAATCTCCGCTGCCCTAGCCGACGCCTTCAAGGCAGCCACGGGTGCCCTCGAGAACACCCTTCGCATCGCCACCGGTGGCGGCACCAGCCAGGCCGAGTACGACTCGCTCCCGGCCCCCAAGTGGGACACCTTCCAGAGCAAGATCACAAAGTTCTACAACGGCGGCTGGTTCCTCGTCGACGACGACGAGCAGGCCGTCACCGTCGCCCTGCAGTCCATCAGCAACAACATCAAGCCAAAGGTCGCCAACGACGTCATGAGTGCCGCCAAGCTCCACCTCGTCGCTGACAGGCGCGATAACGTCAAGTCGCGCGAGGACTGCGGATTTGCTCCTGGACGCCAGTGGATGGCACTCCGGGATGGCGAGGAGTACTGCTTCTATATCATGCGCAACAGCCCCAACCCGAACCGTGACAACGACTGGGTTGAGGTCGAGGCCGAGATTTACGACAAGATGGCTTCGTACGGACTTGGGAACCGTGACCCGTACTACCGTGCCATTATTGACTGCGCGCTCAACGGTGGAGATGACAAGGACAAGGTTGAACTGAGCAACTTGGCTTGGGGCAAAGTTCCTACGTGCTACTTCAACCTGCCAGCAGTGTTCATCGACAAGGATACCAAGGTTGGCTGCGGCAGCCCCTTTGACAACCAGGACTGCAACTACATTGCTGCCACCCCAATCTCTTAGATGATCATGGCGATGCGAATTATTTTTTTCTTTTTGAAATACCATTGTTTCTCTTCTCTTGAACCAGCCCTCCAACTCCGTACATACCTTACCATATCTTAGCCCAACAACTGTACAATAATCAATACCAAGCGAACCAATACCCAGAAATCAATTACAAAAGCTATCTCAGTCTACGCGAACGCCTTTCTATGCGTCTCTGCCGTTTGAAATCTATTGTCGCCAGACTTGTGGCACTTCTCAACGCATTGTTTATGTCCTAAGTGCCCCTGAAGACTGCCATACCCTACGAAATCATGCGCTGTCTTCTGCCGCGCGTCTCCTGCCCCTGTAACAACCAAAGTTAGATAAATAACTCAGAAAGATAATTGACGAAGGTCAGTGACTTACGCCTTCCATGTCCGCCCGGCTTCTTCTAGGCGTTCAGCCGCCCCATTATGCCATTCGCGAGTTTCCGGTGGATTCCCACCATATTTCGGGTTGCCGCGTTTCTTTTCCGCCTTGCCCTGAGGGTTGGCAGTCTTTTTGTACGGTTTCATTTCCTTATCCAGAGCTTGGGCTCGGTCGTCAAGATGCTTTCCGTGTTCGTACTGCGCACGGAACGGTGCCGTCGGGGGCATTTTGGACACATCTAGGGCACCATTCGTTCGGAGGTGCTGTGTGTTGTTGCGATAGAAGTCGTTGTGTTGCGAGGAGCCTTTGTCACTCCACAAAGGGGCTGAGCCGGTATGAGTGACAGGCGCGACGGCAATTGAGCTGGCCGGCGGGAATCTACCAGGTTGCTGAGTCTTTGACGGGTTTCCACCGGGACCCCAGGTGGGATGTTTCTGTTTGGAACTCGAGGAACCCATGATGTCTATGATGAAAATGTTGTTGATAATATTGAGAAAGATTGTAGAAGAAATCAAGTAAGCTGGGCTGGTGTGTATGTTGTGCAATGCTCCTCAGTTGCGTGTGGATATTGGATCTTTTCATACTTGAAATACTACCGCACTCCCTGTCTACTCTGTTGCTGGGAAATCATCTCGGATCCAGTGTTGGTTTGGTCGACCTTCAGGTAAGCGCCGGTCTCAACATGGCGCGTTGGCCAGGTTTGTTGACCGTTTGGCCGTTGAAAGCCCACCGCCCCAACTTGAAATTGTCTGGGCAATTGACGGGCAAGGTGCGCAGAACATCAGCGTGGTAATATCTGACGACAATCCTAGTTTCATGTCCATGTTGATTCGTGTCTGGAATTGAAAACCTGACAACTTTGCCCGCGCGCTTAGGCGACCTTATCATGGTCACTTCTGGAATGAGCGCGTAAAGTGAGGCGCAGCCAACATGGATGCTGTTGGTCGAGTTGGAGGCATTGATGTTTAGCCGCCAGTGGACAAAAGCACCCGACAGGGTCGGATAGCTGACTTTCCAGTGGTGTTAAATCGCAGGGCCATAAACTTCTCCCGTTCCAACATTCATCTCAAAAATTCACCTCACGCATCCAAGTTGCCGGCCCAAGAAGAAGCTTCGAAGCATCGTAATGGCAGACTACAGCGGGCCCTCAAACTCGCTTCTTCTCTCGTCTCTCCCTCAAGAACTCTTGAGACTTATTTTATCGCATTCTTTCGATTTAAACAATCTCCTATCTGCAGTCGCATCGTGTCGCACATTGCATAGCGCATTCCACTCGTTTCCGACCCCATTGCTTGACTCTATCTTGTACCGAGAGCTCGATCTTCCCTCTCGTCCCGAAGTCATTCGGATCACTCGAGCACGTCGACTGCTTGCCTCCGGTCTGTCGCAGCCGGAGCTGACTGATGCTAGAAAGCAGCTTCTTCAGCGCGACCCGGAGACGACTCTTGACTGGAGCCTTTCCGAAGGGATTGCCGCCGTGCAGCTGCGCAACAACGTGGCGGACCTCTCGAATGCAATTTGCAAACAGTATTTGGATAACCTTGCGTCTCACGTCAAGAAGGGGCATGAGGAACCACCTTCTGACGCCGAACTTGACCGCATCCAGCGAGCACTATATCGATTTGAGACATACTGCAACATTTTCCCACCTTTAGGTGCGTATACATGGCCAGCGGACGATGTGAGAGAGGAATGGACCACGTTCTTCGAATCCTCTCCGTCCTGGGAAATTGAACAAATTGGAAGCGTGCATGAATCGCTTTTCCGCCTCGTTGCACCTGGTATGTACTCTCTAGTCTCAATGTACCAAGTTCTCGGATCACATGTAGAGTACGCTGACGTCGAGTTCAGTCTTTAACGATTGCGCCTTGCACGACATATCATGGGGCTGGGACGAAGTGAGATACGCTTACGATTACGAAGATGGTCGCGTTGAGTGGGTATTGTCTCGTGGCCTGGTGCACGTCAACAGGGTTTTGCATGCCACAAGCTTCCACGAGCGGTGGCTGCTCTTCGGCGGTCGCAAAGTTCTGGAGCACGACTGCAACTGGCTCTATCAAACTTTCGAGACGTACAAGAATCTTTTCGTCGCGAATCGAATAGGCTGGATGTCTAGTAAGACACGACATATCAAATCAGAAGAGACGGCCTTGGAAGATTCCATGTCTCCCGTCGAGAAGATTTGGAAGTGGTCTCATGGGGAATTTTACCAGGACTCGGGCGACGGGAGATATCGGTATGACATGGCGATGGAAGACCCTTTCAGGTCGCTGAGGGCATGCGGGTATGTTTTCTGGGATGAGGAGAGAGTGAAGCGCATTGGTTGGTTCGATCAGAATGTGGTTGACCTTGAACTTGACGTTGGAGAAGAAATTTACAAGAATTCGCCTTCTCTTCGACTAGAAATACGGTCTTGGATCATTCGATCCAACCTTTTTCAAGAAGGGAAAACGGGCTACTGGGATGGAGACCCGGAAAACACAGCGATTAATCCTTCACAAGAATGGAGGCTTGCGGAAGATTGAATAACACTCAGGTGCCTAGAGATATGACAGAGAAACACGTCGTTGAACATGCTTCAAAAACCAACTTTCTCAACGGCAGATGTTTCGATGGTTTCGTTTGTACTTGTTGGCCCAAGTCTTAGGCCGCTGATCGTGTATGGATAGGTTTCGCGTTACGAGGCTGACACGAGTGGTGCTGTGCGTTGGTTCGGTTGGTTCGGGAAGGCCAGGTTGCAGCGCTTAAAGATACTTCCGATTCGCAGCCAGACACTCCTAGGTCATCATTGCTAGCCACACGATGTATGCATGTCGTTGATAATCTCCGTTTCGGTATTGTCCGGGAACAAGTCGAACGGTTGAGAGACGATCAACGAGTCGGACCCCCTTTAGGTTGGCTAGGTCAATTCTCGAGCGGCCTACAAATAGCCACCAACCACTCGTAGCAACTGGCAGCGCACTCGCTGACCCTCAAGCGAGATAAGTACAACAGGCCTTTGAACCAACGTGCTCTGCACAATTGACGCGTCACAACGGTGAAGGCTGGAAGTCATTCCATTTAGGGGAGAGATGTGATGTATAATTATAGACTCTTGCAGGCTCTAAACTCAATTTCACTCTCAGGTCCTAGTCTTGAGCAGAAGCGTCGGTCTCGTTTATCGAGACGCGCCGTCTTAGTCTTTGCACCCCCGGCTGTGAACCACCATGCAATTCCTCGCACCTAAGTAAAACAAAAGTCAGTGCCATTCTCTCGAAACTTTTATGTGTCGCAATGGTGATAGAATCGTGTCATACGTACATCTGTATTTGAGAGATCTACTGGCAGATCATGCCGACACCACCAACAGGGGCATAAGTGCTCTTGCAGGTTGTGCCAGAGCAGCACCCACGGTCACCAGGACCGCCACAATTGGCTTTTCACTGTTAGACTGATTGTTGAGGCGAGTTTCGGAGATTCTACAGAGACTTACCACCCTTGGAAGCGCAGTTGTCCTGCCTCTGGACCAGGCTGACATCGACAGATGCAGCAGAGGCGGCGGCAACGAGGGTAAGCACAAAAGCGAGAGTGAACTTCATTTTTAAAGATGGTGAGATGAAAGAGAATGATTATGGAGCTATATCATCCGGTCTCTTGGGCGAAACATACAAGCCTATATATACTCACTCGCTCGCCTTGCCACCGTTACATTGCCTCTCTGGGTCGCTTGGCTCCTTGATTGGAATTGATAGTAATCACCCTGTTGATGATATTGCCGAGAACACCAAGCCGCGACCTGGAGTTGTGCATACGGGCTACATTACTCAAGTGAATCGTCTTGAGCTAGTTGTCGCCTATGTTCTGAGCTGGTCAGGGGTCAACTGTCTCCATGCTGAACTCAAATATGTGGGGTGCAGTCGCGTTTGTTCGTCAGCGGAACCCCGCGAGTTTCGCTCAGTTGCCATTCATTGTATCACATTAAGTCGCTGTAATTTAGTGCCCCCTTGGCCCCATATTCCGTTTGGGCATTGCCGACAAACATCTGATCCCACGCGGACGAACCCGTTGTCTGCGCGTTGCTCGTCGTCGAAGACGCCCGGTGTAGACGAGCCACGCTTTCCGCGCTCAGACGCCTGACTCGCAAGTGTGATAATCCAAGAGCTCCAGAAGCTTCGTAAGAATTGTGAGATGTGATTGCACCTCTCGCTGGTGCTCCACCTCAACGTGATCATCGCGAGAACTGGACTGGTGTTAGACTAGCAGTGACGAAAGGCAGAAGTTTTTCATGGACATGCGAAGCATCACCGACTTATGTAGAAACCGCTTCCATTTTTAGATGCGGAATAGAGCACGATGCCAAGCTTCGGGTCAGGGTTCTAGGGCCACCGATTAGCAGCGAACGGGGACAACCTTAGTAAGGACCTCTTGAACCTTAAAATGCATCAAAAGCCTGAAGGTTGATTGCGATATTGATTGAATAAGTTTATTTGAACCACGATGTGTCTACCAAACCGAGCCTCGACTGTTCTCAGAGAACATCTCTGGGGTGCTGATTTGGGAATATCATTATCGTGTTATGCAACTCCTCAGCGTCAAGCGCAAGCTACGTTCCGTACATGAAGGTGCGTCTTTGGTCCCCTCTCCGTATCTCAGATCTGGCGTCAGCTGCAAATTGAGTTTCATCCCACGTTTCAATCTCAATTGCGCGCTTTCTGTTCTCCATTTTGTACGCGTATTTCAGGAACACCAGACCGCAAATGCAGCAAGCCATAATGACCATCGTTATGATCAGAGGTACCTCATCTAGCATCTTGTCAGTCTGGAAAACCTTGAGTACGTGGTTTGATCAATTGACATACATCTTGGTGCGTACTTGCTCTTGAAAATCTGTCCCGCGATGACGCCGGCAATGTTGGACCATCCATTGATCCCCATAATGACGCTTCTGGTGCCTTTCCACGGCGTGTTGCCGGCCAGCCACACTGCTAGCAGCGGACCGCCAACAAAAACGCCTGCCATGCAAACATGAGCGAAGCCGTATCGAAGTTGAGTGTCAGTTGAGGTAGCCATAACAATGCAACCGACGATACCAAGACACATGCCACCGACAGTATGCATAGATCGTTCTTGGAAATGGTCACTCAGCCAAACGATGACAAGAAGACCGACAGTGCCACTAGAATGCAAGTTAGTGCAACTCTAGAAGAACCCTTGTGGGTTAGGAAAGCGACTCACACTACAAATGGGGGAACACTCATGAGAGTTGCCTGAATGCCAGAGTATCCCATGCCCTGGACTATCAAGGGTAGAAATGTCGTGAAAGCCGTTACTGGAAGGACAGTTGTGATGTTGCAAACCACAACGAGAAGCTTCTTCCAGTCTTTCGCCACGTCAATGAAATCCCGCTTGACGACAGAAGTGCTACCAATGTCGCCCTCCTCTTGAGTTCCTGCCAAGTCAATCTCCATTCGTCGTATAGCGTGAGCACGCTCCTCGGCCGTGAGAAACCAGGCGGTTGAAAGGTTTTTAGGCAGAACAAAGAACGTCAAGATACCAAGGAAAACCGTTATAGCACCTTCGAACAAGAAGACCACTTGCCATCCGTGTATCCTTGGCGAGCTGATTTTCAGAAGTCCGTATGCCAAGACTCCAGCGAATGCCCCTGCGACGGAGTACATCCCCGTGAACATCCCAACGCGAAAGCCGACATCATACTTGGGGTACAATGTGGACATGTAAAACATACCGATCTGGGTGAATCCAGACTCAGCAGCACCGATCAAAAGTCGAAGGGCAATAAGCGTGCCAATGCCTCTGATGGCGGCGTGACACATGCAAAGTCCACCCCATGCAATGAGCTGAAGTCCCAAAAAGTACTTGACGCCAACGCGACGTGCCAGGATCACCATGAATGGCTGAAGTGGTACGTAAGTAGCCGAGAAAAGTGACAGGGAGTTTGGGATATCGTCAGGAGAAAGGTTCGCATCTTTGACGAACGAGCTGGTCGCGACGAAGCCAATGTTGGTTTTGTCGATGCCACAGAACTGGTTTGGGTGAGCCCAAGAAAGAATGCGTTAGATGTATTCGCTATTTTACTCATGATAAATCCAACCGCCAAAAGACTGACGACAATCAAGTCAAGTTTGAGGTTGACCCTTCTGTTGATTCCTTTCTCCTCATCATCCACGGGGCGATAGTGGGTCTGGTGCTGTCGGGAGACATCATTCTGTACAATTTCGAGATGCTCAGGATCAATATCCCCTTTATCATGAGGTAAGACACGGCTCATGATGTCTCGAGGCAACTACATAGTTCTGTGGTTTGAGCTACCATACTGGTCTATGGGGCTGTTTCCTTTTGTACTGAGAGGCCTGGGCATAAAGCTGTGCCAGGTTGATCACACAGTGCCTCCACACCAACCCCAGATTTTCCCCGGATTACCTATTAGATTAAACCCGATCTTAGAATAATAAATCATTTGCATCTACGTTCTCGCTGTGCTGTTCAATAGGTTGATCAGATTTCTTGGCTATCGTTTTCCCACATCGGCCAGCACAACCACCCCACTTTCCCACCCACTAGGCCACCTACATCGAAGCCGAGGATGACTTCGCGATTCGACGACCCGAAAGCTTGCAGTGGAATGCGACTCAGACAGTCCCGGATGTTATAGTGAAGGTCTGTCAATAGGTTTTGTCTGATCTTAGGCCGTGCTCCAAGACATGACCTGGGCCGCTGGGCGTTCAACTTTTGCTCGATCACGTCTCCGGGCCATTCCAACCATACAGAAACCAACGACACACTTTTACAAACAAAACATCGTCTCATCTTTTGGTCACGAGATTTCAACGATTGATATGGCTGCAATTAGCATCTCAGAGCAGGCCCAAGGGGGCAGCATACCCTTTGACATCGATAAGTCAGCTGCAGTGATCAGCAACGACCCCGCCAAGATCTACGAAGAGTACCGATATCTTCGAAAAGAGTGTCCCCTGATTCACACCAGTCAGTATGGGGGATACTGGCTTCTCACGCGGTATAATGACGTTAAACGAGCAGCTTTGGATTCAGAGACGTATATATCGAGTGTCAGGGCAGTTGTACCAAGCGATCCTAGAGGCATCCGAAGACCGCCTTTGAACTTTGATGCACCAGCTCATACCCCCTTCCGAACTGCGCTTGAACACACAGTGAAGCCAGCTCGACTGAGACGACTGCGGGAGCCATTGCAGCGGCATGCGGAAGCGGAGCTCGCTCCTCTGCTAGCCCGCGGCCGTGGAGACATCAGTGCCGAGTTTGCAGCCAACTTTGTTGCCCGCATGGAATCCGAATGGTTGAATCTCGAGCCCGATGTTGCTCCAAAGTTGGCCATCACTGCCGCAAGTTGGCTCAATGCTTGGAGAATGCAGGACGGCGAGACGGTCACGACAAACTCACAGAAAATGTATCAAATCGCGCAAGAACTCCTTGCCGACCGACGGATACATCCAAGGGACCCAGAAGAAGACCCAGCGTCTTCATTGCTTCTAGAGAGAGATGCTGAGGGTCATCCTTTGAAGGAGGAACATCTCATGTAAGGCCCGTGCCATATCATCGCATTGCATTTCTCACCTTCTTCCAGCGGTTGCCTCCGACAATCTTTGGTGGTGGGTGTTGTCGCGCCCCCCATTCTCATCGGCTCCATATGCAACCACCTTTCCAAAGACAAAGATTTGCAGAACAGATTTAGGGAGGATGAGTCCCTCATACCAGCCGCACTTGAGGAGTTCTTGCGACTCTACAGCCCATACCGGGGCTTTGCGAGGACAACTTCAAAGGAAGTCTGTCTTCATGGTAAAACGATACATCCGAAAGAGCCAATCACCCTGTGCTATACAGCAGCCAATCGTGACCCAGAGGTCTTTGAGAATCCCGACGATTTCATTCTTCACAGAGAGAACATTGCATCGCACATGGGATTCGGAAGGGGAAGACATAGATGTGCAGGCATGCCACTTGCAAGATTGTGAGTTTATTAGACGTCACAGAACTTGAAGAGCTTGCGCTGATCGTGTACTAGGGCTCTTGACATTGTCCTCCGCGTGATACTTCAAAACACAAAAGACTTTGAGGTGAACGGTGAGTTGCAGTACTCAAGGATGCCGGAGTTGGGGATTATTAGCTGTCCCATGAGATTTGTTCAATGACGGTGGTTGCGAAGTATTCGGCGACACTGAGGGGCACAAATCCGTCCAATAGTTTCAAAGCAACCGGACGGGAATACGCAACACTCCGTCTCGTCTCAGTAAATGATATACAGAGCAATCATATCAACCGTACGAATTTTAACCACGCTTGAATTTCATTTTCCGCATGGTCATGTCTCGTGATTAACTTGTTTGAGCAGAAGGTTCAAGATATCCGAAGTCTAGATACCGATATCAGAGTTCCCCTGACTCAGTCCACGAAATGCGGTCGCTCTCAGCACGGACTTTTCAGCACCTCGGCCTGAACTTCATCAAGGCACAATCGTATCAATCAATATCGCTTAGATGAAGACCGTAGCAAATCGGCTGTTCGTGTTATTATGCCCCGTAGGTTCAGTAACCCAGCTCGATGGTGGGAAATGTGGAGTTCACCCGTGTGGGAGAAGTGGGAAAGACCACAGTCCAGGGTGGGTGAGTTGCCGTGGGTGAATGTGGGAAAGGGGTACCCTGGTCACCATCGGCTCTTTAGCGTGATTTTCGGCATTTGCTGCAGTCTGCACAACTGTCGCGGGGGCTGCGGGGAAGTTGGGGAAAAAGCTCTTCTTCTCTCCATCAACACATTCGTAATAGCCACCGCACATGTGGGAAATGCATATGTGACGCAACCGCCATGGCCGACGAATCCCGAGAGACGGCCCCGGTTACCAATTTCGAATGTTCCTTCTGCCGAAGGAGGTTCACAAAGAAGGAACACCTCAAGGTGAGAGGCTCTGAGCAACTGTTGCCGACCAATGACGTCCCTCAGCTGAACTTTCCCTCAGAGACACGAAAGAGCCCGTAAGTCGAGCGCGTTAGGAACATCCACTACGCGTAGGGGAGTTTCTGCCAGGTCTTCCAGATTCTGACCTCCACTTAAGATACCGGATCAAGACCTTTCAAATGCACAATATGTGATAGGTGCTTTTCCCGTGGAGATGTGCTCAACAGACATGTCAAAGGACACAAGCAGGGAGCCCAGCCACAACTCACTCCGAGTGGAGTTGCAAGCAGTGCTTCATCCTCAGTTCATCCTTTTCAGCCCCCTGCTGGAAACGTTGCGATACACAATGTGGCGCCTCAAGTTTCTCAGGCAATGCATGCCGGCGTAGTGTCTGCTTCAGACCATGAGGGCAACAACCACAATGTTGCATCTTCCTCTCTTCTTTGGCCTGACTCTGAAGAACTCTTCCAAAGTTTGATGTCAGCGGATGGGATGACGTGGGACCAGTCTATGCCTGGATTGATCCCATCGGCCTATCAGCACCAGGATGTACAGTCTGCTGGACTCAGTAGTACGGCCGACGGCGATGAGCTTGCTATCGCAGAAGATGGGCATCGTGCGGTACAGACTATCAATGGAATACTCACGAACACGGTAAGATAATCTTCCGGATGACTCTGGTCACCGAGTATTCGATGTTGAAAGTAGTCCTGCTGACTGAGGTTTGTCGCCCTCAAGCTATTCAATGTTACCTCTCATGTAGAACTCTCCGATTTAACCCCTCGGTTCCTCGACAGCAGCCTACATATGTTCTTCACCAAGTTCGTACCTATACTTCCGATCATTCACCGCCCCACATTCGTGTACCGGGACTGCTCAGCTCCACTCCTCTTGAACGCGATTGCTCTTGGTTCTCTGTTCCTCGGGACAGAAGACGCTACAGTAAAAGTAAGCAACTCAATAGTCTGTATGAGATTCTTTCTGACCTTTGTACGACTAGGGTGAAGCACTGTGGAGGCTTGCGTACACAGCGATTGCGACCTCATGGCCCGAGATGACCAGTCATAAAAGAGAGCATGACGCGTGCAGTGGAGTTGAGCTCGTTCTCACGGCGTTATTGAGTCAAATCTATGCAGCTCTGTCGAGAGTGAGTGGGATGCCTTTTGACCGTTGCATAAACGCCGCCGTAACTAATCACTTGGCTAGAACCGGACGTTGAGAATGACTAGTCAGACTTTCTACGGCCTCAGCATGCATTGGGCGCAGTACTGTGGGATGTACGACCTCGTGCCTTATCGACAAGCCTTGCCACAGGCTCATGACCCCATCGAGACCAAAATGCATGCTTGGAGATCATGGGCGGCGAGGGAGACGCAATTGAGAACGCTGCTTGGCCTGTGCATCATTGACGGCGTGGTCTCGCAATTCAGCGGAAACCTTGTCAACACCTGGTCAGCGACAAACTCGCTGCCGCTATCTGCGGACGAAGACGCCTTTGCTGCTGAGACGGTAGATGAGTGGATCGATGTGATGGTATCTCGCGGCCACAACACGGGTAGTGGACCAGATCGGTTCTCCGACCTCTATCACTCACTCGTCCCTGACGGAACACACATGGGCCCAGTCTATTGCTTGCCGGGCCTGCTCAACATTAGGATTCTCCTTGAAATACTGGCCTCACTTACAAATGACTTCGAAAGATTGAACAAGGGTTCGCAGGCACAGGTTGCGCAAAAGCTTGGGGCCGTGAAAGCATTGGTAACTCTGCGGACCCATCTGGCTCAAAGCACGACCTTATCGGCAGCAGACAAGACCATTGGGCTACTGCGATGGCATGCGGTCTGCCTCGACCTAGTTGTCAGTACTGCTCGTGGAGCGAGAAGGATGTGTTACCACTACAACATCACACAGCACATCTTTGGGGGAAAGAAGCGCGAAGAGCCAAGCAGGATAGACCCAAACGCCTGGACGCAGGGTCTTAGAGCGAGGAAATGTTTGCTTCATGCCATGGAGATCCACAAGATTGCATCCGAGATACCTCTCGGTATCATTCACGACACATGTCTACCTGGGGCGTTGTTTGCAGCAGCCACGACTTTCAGCTCATTCGCCCTTCCCGGGCTGTCGAAGGTTCTAGTTCCTCCCTCCGTGGACTGGAGTATGGTTATTCTACAAGGCCTAGATGACACCGGACAAAATACGACGTCTTCGACGGCTGATTTATCGAAAGACACGCTGGCTTTTTTGACGAATGACGTCAATCCTCAATCCCCAGGATGGATCGCTCGGAATTTGGTGTATGAGCTGAGCGCAATTCGGATACTGCTGCATAGTCTTTCCCAACACTGGGGCGTCACGCGAGAGATGGAAGAGGTGGTTGGAGCATGGGAAGCCCGGTGTAGTTGACGGGGGACAACCTCTATGAAGCGACCGATTGTAATATCTACACAAATTGTGACATTCCGTATCGTGATTAAAGAGTCCGCTTGTCGCCATGTCTACGATGCGCCATAGGTCAGGACGTTGTCAATGATGAACTGAACACCAGGTTCTCGATATGTGTCCGCTTCGATCCATGAGCCATATCCATTGAACACAATACTGTTTCCTTCCTTGCCGTATTGTGGCCAAAAAGGCAGTCCAGTTCCTGTTCTTCTCAGCGTCCATTCAATGGCACATATCAGTATGAGGAGTAAATACTGGAGACCCCCGTATTCGGGTCAAGATCATGAGCAAAGCTGACCCACGAGGCTGACATCTGATATGCCATGTTCTGGTCCCAAGGCTGGTCTGGAATCAAGTTTGAGAACACGTATTGCTGCTCCACCCCAGTTCCGATGCCGTTCGTCATTGATGAGGTGTTCGACTGTAAGTGATTGAAGCGATATCTGTACACAGGAACACCATCTCGAGCCAATGTCTGCGCGATCATCCGCGCTGGGCCAATTTGGACTATGTCACCGAAGATGGAGCACGCCATTTTGTCGAGGAGCCCAGATGTGAACTGAGTGCTTCCAGTGTTGTACGGACATCCTAACTGGGGATTTGTGGGGTACAGGCTGATGAGTTTTGAGACCGTCTCGTTCGGTAATAGCTTCGGGCGGAAGTAACCTTGAGCTGGATTCGTGTTAGATGAACTATGAAAGGATGGCGCGCCTTATAGTGTCGTCATTACTCACCTACTGGATCAAACAGCTGTTCAGTTGTGTTGATGCCGGTCGGCGCCGATGTGGTGCCTTCGTCGGTGTTTGCTGAGCATTGTCAGATACTACTCTCGACATAACCTATTAGGGTGGTCAAGCTTACCTCCAACAACTGTGGGTATCTTGATGTATTGCCCAGCGGGCAGGGCTTGCTGGATAGATGTGCGGGTAAAGTCACCATCAACTGACTGCCCAGTCGACGATCCCACCTTTGCCCTGAACTAATCAACAGGCAACTTGCGAATGCAATTCAGTTTGTCTGAAGCACTTCCGTTGACAACAGAAGAGCAGTTAGTTCCATTTACCAGTGAATCAAACGTGCTCTGAAACGCAGTCGTATTGGGTAGCGTCAATGGAAATGCTCCGCCGCTTTGCAGTATAGCGCCGCGAAAGAGACTGTCATTCCTTCCACCATATGCCATCATGTGGGAGTAGATAGACACCGCACCGGCTCTATTCGATGTTAGTCGATCGATCAAGAGTAACCACTCTGGCAGAACCTACGATTCACCTGCTAGGGTGACCTTCTTGGGGTCGCCCCCAAAGGCAGCGATGTTCTCTTGGATCCAACTCAACGCCATTCGTTGGTCAAGCATGCCTGTGATTTGGATGTATGTCAGACTACGATACAATAGTAGAAGATGACATGCAGTAACTTGACGTTTCATTACCAATATTGAGCAAACCAAGTTCGGCCATCTCGTTTCCATTCAAGAAACCGAAGGGGCCTAGTCTGTAGTTCTGGCATCACGTCAGCTTTTCTCCCGTTACAGAGGACTTGGCAACAGCCTACTACCAACTTACTACTGATACGAGAATGATAGGCTTGCCAATATCCTGAGAAATACGTGCTATAGAAGTCCCTTCGAATCTGGGATCGGCCTAACAAATATTTCTACGTAAGAAATGTGTTCATGCATGGGCATCACATTAGAGACAATGACCTACGGTGTAACCATTCGTCAACCCGCCTCCGTATAACCAGACCAACACAGGCAACTGGCTGCTGCTGGACGTCGCATTCGTTGGTCTCCATATGTTGAGCGTCAAGCAGTCTTCACTCGAATTGCCTTGGTCCCTCGCAGAGTAACAAGAAGGTCCGAATTTGTCTGCTTGTAAATTGCCGAAAGACTTTCTCAGAGACACAGCTTGCCGCAGCCGCAGGTCACCGACAGGTGGCTCCGCAAAGGGAATGCCCAGAAATCTCTGGACACCGCTGACAGCATCGTTCACGCCAACAACAGTGCCGTTAGTGGTCAAGACTGAGATGGCAATTGATGGCTGAACAATGATGAGTAGAAGGAAAGGAAAGACAAATGATGTCAAGAAAGAATGACTGCCCATCATTCTGGATTCCTGTGTCTCTCAACGATTGACAATGAGCCACCTGTTGGGATTTATCAACCACATATTACGAGCACTTCCAAAGGCCAATCATCTAATAACCCCCTGCGTGATCACCATAATCTAGCACCAATCTGACGACGTTAGCTGAACTTGAGAAATGCGGAGATCCCATGGGGAGTGTGGTAGTGGTTTCCCACTACCGGATGATCGGGTCCATCCCACAATGTGGGAAAAGACCAGCGTCTCTTCGCAGTGGGGCAGTGATATTATCGAAACTCGGCAAAGTTGCTCGGGACATGGGCTAATCAATCATCAGGGGCTATTCACCGAGAAGCTAACGGAAGTATTTGGGCAATTCACAAGTCCTTACCCACACAAACCAGTGATCACTTGAGGGACATTGTTGTTTAATGTCCTTGAAAGGGCACATTGGCTGTGAATTGGGGGTTTCAGCAGGAAACGCCTCTCGCATTTGTGTGATATCATTACTTTCGAGATGCGAACGAAATCATTAAACCAAAGGTGCATGGTAACTGGAAAGAATTTGATTGCTAAGTTATGTATGGATACCAGAATATTTTACATGGACTTGACGATTAATCCGTCATTCGATATTTACTTGCGGAAACGGGAGGCCAGTATTTACTGAATAGGAGTGACCTTGATGTTGTCCAAGTCTTTGAAGACGACATCGTTGATACCAATAGTCTTAGGACCCTCGCCGGTGAACCATGCCTTCGCTGACTCGTTCCCACGCAGCATCCACTGCAAAATTTGGGTACCAACCATGGCTGGGATTCCGCCATTGGGAGCATCAAAGGCAGCACTGTGGCCGAGATCGTGGTTTCCTTTCCAAGCGGGGGTTCCCGCAGGAACATCTGCGTAGTCTCGCTCACCCTGGTAAAAAGTCAGCATTCGAATGCCCATGAAGCTATTGTCAAGGTAACCAATATTCGTGTAGGCAATATCAGTCGGTCCACCAAGCGTGTAGAATACAGGCTTCTTGAGGCTGCCTGCAATCTCCTTACTCGAGGTCTCGTTCAGAAGACCGCTATTGAAGATGCCGATATGGCTGACACGAGAATCATTCAGGCCGGCGCCGTAGGACTCAAGACCTCCACAGCTCTGTCCCCACACACCAATGCGAGAGGCGTTGATGTGCTTCCAATCGCCTTTGCCAGCATTGGCGTGAACCCAGTCAATGGCGGCAGTGAGAGCAGCTGGATTCTGGCCGGATGCGTTCACTGAAGGATCATCAGGAGGCGCTACGTAGGTCTCGGGGTCGACATAAGCCGGCCCCGTCGCGATGGCAAGTGCACCGTGGGAGGCTACTTCACCGAGGAATCCTCTGAAGGTAAGACCGACTTAAGCGCGTTAGCACATAGAATACATAGAGAAGAGGTTTGTATGGGACATACTAGGTCCATGTTAGCGTGAGTTCTATCAAGATCTCGGGGCACCCTTACCAAGGCTTGCAACCGCCATTACCCCAGACAACGACGGGTAGCTTGAGGTTGGAGCCCACCGCGGATTCTAGTGGCTGGTAGAAGCTTTGATTGGCCAGTGATTCAACCTCGAAGTAGTACTTTCGTTCATGTTAGTCGACATCCAGGCATAAGACGAAGGTCATTCCATGCATACCGACTTGTAAGGGCCAGTACCACCGTACTATCAAGAGAGCGTGTTGTCAGTCTTCAGCAGTCCAAGCGACCGACGAATGATGAACTTACTGATGGACCATGGTCAGTAGCAATAGCAACGGCAACAAGGCCAAGAAAAGCGACGGCCCTCATGTTTGCAGTAAGTTGTCGTGCTCAACTTTGAAAACGGCGGCCAACAACAACGCACCAAGTGCAAGGCATTGCCCATGAGTCTGACCGCCCACTATATAAACGATTCATGTTTCCTGGTTAAACATTAAGCCTTGACGAAACCTTCGGAGATTTGCTGTCAACAAACCGGGGGACACGGATCGGAGAGATGCCCCTGACGAATTGCGCCGAGGACAAGGTTGTATCGATCGCCATGCGCAACCCCGCATTTTACACGACAATACCATACTTGAATAGAAACAAGTCAACTCCTCGACTACTATTAATGAAGTTACCATAAGAATGAATCTCGGTCGTCTCTGAGGACCCTTCACAGAGATAGAGTGGGCGCATGTGGGAAAAGTGCTCCCACCATCGGCTTGGCGTCGAGCGAATGTGGGAAAATTGCTTTCCCACATTCCCCACCTAAGCTGAACGTCGCCATGCCGGCCGCCGAAGAAGCAAGTAACTCGTCTCCCGGAGCCGAAGGCTGGCCTCAACTGCGAAAGAGTCGGAACCAAACTTTCGGTTGTAGATGCCGAAGGTCTTTCTGCACACTTCACTAGCTTGACGACCGCGCTCTCTTGGAACAGCATTCCTTACGAGAGTCCATTGCATTGAGGATTTGAAGAAGGCGAAGAACAATATTGCGTGCCTATTCAACGCCAAGTTGAAGTTAATGGCAAAATTGCCGGAGTTCGCTCAAAAAATAATATGATTATATGATCTGATAAAAGTGTTATATCAGTGCGTAACTACATCGAGATCGTGCACTGCGACAAGGAGCAATGCTTATACCACTATTGCTGCTAAACATTGGACTTCGCAATTTGGCTGAAACCTCGAGACTCAGTAGATAGCGGGCTAATGAACAGCAGATTCACTTGGTATGGTAGCTGAATATGATAGAATACACGATCGCTGTTACAGGGGGTCCTGTATTTCCCTGGAGCGACGCGAATTACCCTGTTGTCCTATGGTAGTCAGGGAATGGGTTTTACAAATTCGCGGGCTTCGCCAGGAGGCTGCAGGTCTACAGACACTCAAAAGGTGATTCACCAGCTAATAATACTTCTTAGACTCAATACATCAGACGTTTGAGGCACCTGACCTCATCGCTGATTCGCCACAGAATTAAGACTCCATCATCAAGGTCTAGGGATAGTAGGGTAGTATAAAGCAGCACTGTGGCACGGGCCAAAACTATTTTCCTGTCTGCATCGTTTTTCTAGTTCCTTCTTCATTCTCTTTTCTCAGAGTTCTTCCAAACCACATGATGTTGATGCGTAAGTACTTGACTGTCCTATCAAAGAAACCGAGGTCAAATAGACGACGAGACAAAACGCACGATGAATCTCACGCGCCCCACGCACCAGGAGGCTTGCTTATACCATATCGGCAACCCCTCACCCCCCAAGACCCTACGCTGGTCTATACTGGATACGTACCGTATAATCCAGAGAAAGAAGTCTTAAACCAGCAGCACAGCGCTCTTTGTCGACTTCCAACCGAAATGGCACTGGAAATAATGGAATACCTTGGTCCACCTCAGCTGTATCTCCTCAGGCAAACTTGTCGGATGTTTTGGCGCCTCTTCACGGATAGAAAGTTTGCATACTTGCACAAGGAACTCGTATGGTTTCCAACGAATCTTAAGCCAAACGAGCGCATTCCAGTGGATGTTCGGGGGTCTATGATCGAATTCAACCAAAGAAACGGTTCGCCTGAGTGGCGGCAAGCGGCAAAGTTGCTCATGAAGGACCATCTCTGTCAAGACTGCCGCGCCAACCAAGATTCGATTCTTCGACACCGATGTTTGCCAAAAGATTATGTACAACGACGCTATTGGACGCCGGTCTTGTGCAATGGGTGTAACACAGAACATTCACTGGCGTGCTTTTCCGAGGCCCAGGCAAAGTCAGCTCGACCCAGGTGTATGGCTTGGGAGGGGAAATTACAAATCTGCCCGCATCGCTATATGCCGTTATTGGACAAAAATATGCCGTCATGCGAGACACTGACCTTGCCAAACAACTGGATGCCACGAACGATTGTGCCGGCTTGTCCTAAGTGCGTACAGCGATTCAGCGCGACTAGAGGTGAGATTCCACCGCGGATAGCTGTTGATGCGCTTGAGACGGCTCAGCTGGAGTGGATAATCGAAATTTGCGAGCTTGGAAAAAGCCAGCTGATCACCAAAGACCTTTTGAGGAGCCGCTTATGAGATATCAAGAAGCAACACGGAGATGGGCTTCTCTGCCCACACATTTCGTTTGATGACGGTCAACTCATGACGCCATTTGACCATAGACACTGTGTCTGCTTCCGAGAAGAAACAGTGAAGCGCCCTGCATGCCGCGATACATCCAGAAGCCACGATGCATGCTGTGCTCGTCGCGGCCGTCCGGAGACAACGGCTGTGTTCTTGCACCCAAGCGGCTATAGCGATCCGCTGCACCACTTCCTTTGCAATTGTTGTTTGTCGGGATATCAGTGGACACTGATAGGGAGGCGAGTTTTCCTTCGCAGACTTCATAAGTTGCCTACTCTTGGGTGTTTTTGGTCATTACCAACTTCGGGAGGACCCAGTTTCGTCCGAACGCGCCCGGACATGGACTCTAACTATGCAAACAAGATAATACGTTTGCTTGACACAAATACGTATCAAGGCAATCGCTTCTCAAAACAAAAAATGCTTTGCAACCAGAGGGGTTGCTGGAATTCTCGAAACTCTAAAACCAATTGGATAGTAGAAGCTTAGTGACTCATGAAACGTGAAATTAGCAAGATAATCAGGATGTATCTACTCAATTGCAGAGACCACTTGCCCATCACCGCCCACAGCATGGCTTTTTGCCGTCTGTATGACTCAACTATCGGTGCGTATTAGTTGCCAAATACCACCTTGGTTTCATGGTTGAGGACCCGATATTGAGTGCTCCTGCTGTGACGAACTGCGAGGTCTTTCCGCTCCGGTGCACACGACTCCGCAGTCCGGCTAGACTCAGAGGTATCACTCCCAGTGCCTCTCCAGGTTCCGTGACGTTCATGTGATCTCCGCATATCCTGCATCCTCCGCTCACTAAGATATCGTTTCATGCAAGCCAAATCCCGCCTGCCATTCGGGGAATGTGACCCCTGCTGCCTATGCAGGTAAGCAAGCCTTAGCTGCGACGCTAAATATCGGCAACCTCAACGATTGGAAGCACAAAACACTCAAAGACCCACCAGTTCCAGGTCCTTTGACGCAATGTGGAACTGACCGTCATTTGGTCCCAACAGTAGAATGATCCCGCACAAATGGCTCATGAGGTGGCTTTCTGCTATTGGTCGCCTGAGGTGTCATTCGTCGGGTATCATCAACACACTGCCGTACTGGACGCACAAAGCCCTCATGGCTGTATCCATTTCCAAAGGGAGTGTCAGGAACAGGCCATTTTGCGGCGTTGTCACAGTTTGGACGGCTCGCTGCAGGCACCGGAATATTCAGTCAATCACATCGATCTGTCTTTCACTCCGTAAAATGGCATATGTAATGGCTGATTCATTGTGTCCACGTATCAGTGAATGAGTGTTAAGTCCCACAGACAGCACGCCATCCGCCTTGCGTATTATAGATACGTGGACCTGGTTTCAAACTGGATATCATCCATTTTGCCTGTCCTCAACTTCGTTCTCGTGAAGCTTTAGCATCAAATTGCCCCTCCGCATTTATCATTCGACTCATTCTTGTTTCCCTTACAAGGGAATCTGCGGTTTTGACTATCTAAGTATGGTTTCCAAGAAGGCAAGCTGTTCGGCGGCCGTCCAGGAGACAACCTTCCTCGTGCCAAACATCCACTGTCCAACATGCACCGGCTTTATCGAGCCGCTGCTTCGGGAGCTTACCCCTTCGCCTAAATCCATCATTACCTCGATCATCAACCACAGTGTCACCGTTGAACACGACAAGGCCCTGTCCCCGAAGAAAGTCTCCCGAGTCCTGGCAGACGCTGGGTATGAAGTTGACAGCATCATCATCGGGCCCCAAGCTCAGGAGCCCGAGTCAGGCCGTGTGCCTCAGCCTCCTAATGCTGTGGTCCCCGTGTCCCTACTGCGTCGTCTTTACGAAGCCCTCGGTTGCATAGGCACACAAGTTAACGAAGACGAAAAGCAAAGGCGACATGCTGAGCATTGCATGCAATGCCGCGAGGAGAAACTCGAAGGTCATGGAGAAGCCATATCCGGAGTGGCTATTGGGAACGACCAATCTTTGAAGCTGCACCGAGCCATCATATCGATCGACGGAATGACTTGCAGCTCCTGTGTCGGCAATGTTACGAGTGCCCTCGAAGCACAGACATGGGTCCAATCCGTCAATGTCGGTCTTATCACACGCGCGGCTACCATCGAGTTCTTCGACAAGAACAACACGAACGAGTTAGTCAATATCATCGAGTCTCTCGGATACGATCCTACACTTGAACGGGTGGAAGAGGTCGCTGGGAGCTCTACGGATAATCTCTGGCAAGCTTCGCTTTCCATCATGGGTATGACTTGCAGCTCCTGTGTTGGAACAGTGACGGGAGCTGTAGAGCGCTTGCCCTACACAGAGTCTGTCAATGTAAATCTTGTCACGAGCAGCGCAGTGGTGAGCTTCCACGACAAGAGCCACTTGAACAACATCATCTCTACGATTGAGGATCTCGGATACGAAGCCACTCTGAACAGTCTCACAGAGATCAACAACGATCGATCGAAAGATACCCACAGAGAGCTCTCTATCAAAGTCACCGGCATGTACTGTGCACACTGCCCAGGACGAGTCTTGGCCGCATTCTCCCCTTTCGGAGACAGGCTGTCGGTCAAAGAACAGGGGACACTTGAAAACCCTATATTCACTGTCACATACATACCCCAGGCTCCAGATTTCACCGTCAGGGCTATCCTCGAGTCCATCATGGGCACTGACATGGCCTTCGTACCCACGGTCTACCATCCACCTACCATGGAGGAGAGGTCTCAGCAGATGATGCGCCGCACCAGATTCCGTCTGATGCTCCGCGTTTTGCTTTGCTCCGTTGCCGCCGTGCCAACGCTGATCATCGGCATTGTCTACATGAATCTCGTGTCACCAGAGAATCACGGCAGACACTATCTCATGCAGCCGCTCAATGGTGTATCACGAGCCGAGTGGTCTCTTTTGACAATGGCAACACCTGTTTACTTCTTTGCTGCGGATATCTTTCATCGACGGGCGATCAAAGAACTGTACTCGCTTTGGCGACCTGGCAGCCCTGTCCCTATTCTGCACCGACTTTACCGCTTTGGCAGCATGGACATGCTTGTTAGCTTCGCTACAACTATCGCCTACTTCAGCTCTATCGCGGAAATCATCATTGCAGCGACTAACAATAATCATATGGAGATGCAGTCCAGACCTTCCCACATGGATGCCGTCGTTTTCTTGGCTCTTTTTCTATTGGTGGGCCGTATGATCGAGGCATATAGCAAGGCAAAGACTGGTGAAGCTGTGTCAAAGTTAGGAAGCTTGAGGCCCAAAGAGGCGCTGCTCCTCATCGACGAACAGAATGGGGGCAGCCAGGTGAAGACCATCGGCGTGGACCTGCTTGACTGCGGCGATCGGGTGAGAGTTGTACATGGTGGCTCGCCGCCATGGGACGGTGTTCTCATCGATGGTACGAACACCGAGTTTGTCGAATCCAGTCTGACGGGCGAATCAAGGCCCATCGAGAAGCGGTTGGGCGACCCCATTTACTCTGGCACGATCAACAACGGCGGCTCAGTCACCATGCAGATTACCGGCGCTTCTGGGGATTCCCTGCTCGATCAGATCGTCAAAGTCGTGCGGGAGGGACAGGCTCGACGCGCTCCGATTGAGCGTGTTGCTGACTCCATCACTGGGTACTTCGTTCCAGTTGTCACACTCATCGCTATTACGACCTGGCTAACGTGGCTGGGTCTTGGACTTTCAGGCCATCTGCCACAAGATTACAGAGACGTCGCCGTTGGAGGCTGGCCATTCTGGTCTCTCCAATTCGCCATCGCCGTGTTTGTCATCGCTTGCCCATGCGGGATTGGTCTTGCTGCCCCGACTGCGCTGTTTGTTGGCGGCGGGCTTGCGGCAAAGCATGGTATTCTAGCCAAGGGTGGAGGTGAAGCCTTTCAGGAGGCCAGCAACCTGGATATCATCGTTTTCGACAAGACTGGCACCTTGACCGAGGGTGGAGAACCCACGGTCACTGATAACCGTATCCTCGCTATAAAAGACGCCCAAAAGGGTGCTTGGGATGAGAACATCATCCTCGGCTGCGTGGCGGAGCTCGAGAGCAACAGCAGCCATCCAATCGCCAAAGCTATTACCACTTTCTGCGGGTCTCAACGCCAGAATAGCTTCAAGTCGACAAGCATTACAGAAATTCCTGGAAAGGGAATTAAAGGCACCTTCACTAGCGCTTCTTTCTCGGCTCCGTTCGAGATCATTGTTGGAAATGAAGCCCTGATGGCTGATCACGGAGCCATTTTTGATGAGCAAACGTTGGAGGAACTAGACAGTTGGAAGAGTCAAGCCAAGTCCGTGGTTCTGGCTGCTGGCAAATTAGTCTCGTCCGATGACGGTGTTGGATGGAATCCTCTAGCCATTTTCGCTGTTTCGGATGCTATTCGCCCAGAGGCGAAGCCCGTTTTGGATGCTCTACGAGAGCAGGGTATTGACGTATGGATGCTCTCTGGAGACAACGCCAAGACCGCAAGAGCTGTTGGTGCTATGGTCGGCATCCCGGAGGACTGCATCATCGCCGGCGTGCTTCCTGAGCAGAAGGCCGAGAAGATTGAGTACCTGCAGAAGAGCCAGATCAAGATTGAATCCTTTCTGGGCATTGGGAACTCCAGGTACCGGCGGCCGACCGTGGCCATGGTTGGAGATGGCATCAATGACTCTCCTGCATTGACTGTCGCAGACGTTGGCATTGCCATAGGCTCAGGTTCTGACGTCGCCATCTCTGCTGCCGATTTTGTTTTCATCAACTCTAGCCTTACGACGCTTCTCACACTCACGAGTCTCAGTCGAGCGGTGTTCAGACGCGTCAAGTTCAACTTTGCATGGGCTTTGGTCTACAACCTGGTTGCTGTGCCTATCGCGGCAGGTGTCCTGTACCCCATCAAGACGAACGGAAGTTACACGAGGTTAGATCCGGTTTGGGCGGCACTAGCAATGGCTCTGAGTAGCCTCAGCGTCATCACAAGCAGTCTGCTGTTGCGACTTCCGCTGCCGATAGTTGGATACAAGACCAAGACCATTGAAAACTCGTAGATAATCGGAGAATGTACATTGGCGTTTTCGACATTTAAGTACTTTAAGTTGGGTTCTTTTTTGAGTTCGTACAATAGTTAATCATCATCTCTTGCCAATTCGTTAAACCCGTTTTGAGAGCGACTGATGCTGTGGAAGAAGCTTCAAGTCAACACCACTTCGCTCATGAGTACTCGCCGTCTGGTTGGTCATTTTGCGGAGGCCTACTGGATACCTCGCCTGCATGAGTGCAAGGACGAAACTGCCTATCGCTATCAAAGGGCCAGGTAAGGCGTTTTTTCTCGCTACCATACCTCTTGAATGGGGCTGCCGGTGGGCGCATTACAACGGCGTAGATCACGCCCAGGTACAGTGCCACGGCCCACAGGCTTTGAAACCACAGTTTACTCAATAGAGGATGAGTAATCCTGCCCGAATGTCGCCTCAAGTGCTGCCTTGGCAGGACTTGACTCAAGTCAACGTGTCTTCAGCTGAAGGGTCGACAAGAATGGGACGATAAAAGGACGACACCCCGCCTGCCTTCGAGGCCGGCCCATGCCGACATTTCCCTTGCCGCCGAGACTAAACTCCGTCTCCTTAAAAATGAAGTCTTTTTTCTCCAAGTTTATTGCCCTGCGAGAAGCCAAACCTACGACACAAACCCCACCAGAGGAGCTTTACGATGCGATCGAACCACAGATCAAAGGCAACCTTGAAATCGCAATCGACTCGACGAATCGCGAGAGATGGCCCGACGTCATCCTCAAGGCACGAAGGCATATGCGATGCCACCCCTACCATCCCAAGCGACTACCAAAATCATATCGGCCGTTCCAGATGGTCGTAGACCCGCCGACTGATGAACGCCAAGAAAGCAATGATGGACCAAGTCGACCCGCTCTGACGACATTTCCAGTGTTCATGGACCTGCCAAAAGAGCTCAGAGACAAGATCATGCTCATGTCGCAGACTCCTACTGTCATGCAGGGAAAGGTCGTTATCGATCTGGAATGGAGAGAAGGACCGCAAATCCACTTTCAGCCGTACAGATCGTGGTCGAGCGTGCCTCTCTACGCAGTCAGCCGGGAGACGAGAGCGTTGGCTATCACCTACTTCGGAGAACCGCAGCCGGGTTCTATCCCGTTCAATTCTTCGCATGACTTTGTGGAGGTTGAGTGGAACGGGTCGATGCAAGCCGAGCGCAGCTGGACTGGCAACCACAAGGGCCCAGGACCAGTCCTCGTCACTCGAAAACGGAACGTCACAGAGAAAGAATGGCCCATGCCGCCAGACTTATGTGAAAGAATACAGCACGTAGTCATTGATGCCCGCAACGCGGCTTTCGAAGATGACTCCAAAAAAGGGCCTTGGCGACTGGTCTTCGGGCTTTTCAGGGATCATTTCAAGAACCTAAGGATCTTAGACATCAAGCTGTGGGATTTGGATGATGCGAGATCTGACAGATCGTATGATCCAGTATGCCAAGAGCTTTATAGGATTGATCAACTGGATTTTCTTGACGAGTTGGAAGACATGTCATCCGACGGCCATACGCCATTCTTGAACCTAGAGTGTGTCAGTATCATACCAGAGCTACCCACGCCCCTACAGGTGGAGCGAGAACAGTTCAGATTTCGTAAGGTCAAAGGGAGTCACTTCAAGACTATCAGAGCGGGTGAGCTTCCCAGAGCTGGTGTTTGAGTATCAGTCACTCTAGCACATACCCTGCTCATAGATTGTTCCCATTGGCAGCGTTGTAACGAATCATCATGCCCACAACGCGGTGTTCTTCATCACATGATCGCCACTAGTACTCCCGCGAAATCAACGATCTTCTCAATCCATAGTCTCCCTTTGAAAGGTCCCACGATCCATAATCTGATTACCGTGACATTGCTTAAATGCTTCTGTCCAGATACATTAGTGCACGTTTTGAACGGCACTCTTGCTATTTTATTACTGAGCCTAGTGCATGGAATCGGCAATCCAACGTCTGATTAGGCGATGCGAAACATCTTTTCTTCAATGAAAGACGTCCTATCACTCTCCGAATGCTTCTACGGTTTAACTACTAATGACATAAAATAAACTCTTAATAATGCGCAATCATGATCATGCCAGTAAGCTCTAGGAAGACTACGCTTATATGTTGAGGAAGTTTCGAGCCCACCCAGTGGGGAACTACGTCTGGTATAATAAGCTGATGTGCATACATGTAAATAAGCTAGAGTACTATAGGAAAACACATGTGTTATTGAAGAAGACTGTAACTTGCAGTAGTATCCAAGAATTCGAGAAGAAGCTAATGAGATATAACCGGGCTAAACTGTATACCAGAGCAAACCATCATACATCATTTATAATTCTCTGGGGTCTCATGGCGTTTTCACTGTTCTGTTTCAAGTCGTCAATCGAGTGACTGGGATGCTGTCTTGGGCTATCATAGCCGCTGGGATGTATCCGAACCTTCTCATCTGGGACGAGATTTGATGGTCGTATCGTACGACGATTTTGGTTCAGCGGCGGCACCTTCCCTCTCCAATACACCTTTTCTCTCATGAGCCGAGACCAGTAAGCTTGACATGATTCGTTCGGCCGCCACTCCATTTCTCCGCTGATGACGACTTCAGCTTTGAGAGGTCCTCTCCAGGTGAAAGGCTGGGAGTCTTCCCGAGTATTCGGTAAGCCACAAGAGCCAGTCAGTTTTCTTTGGTCAACGAACCTCCCAACCAACAACCAGTTCAGTATCTGTTTTTGCTTTCTGGCGGCAATGTATGCAGAACGATACCCGTTCGGTCCTTGGTACGTCAAAGATGCCCCGTGGCGAACCAGGAATGCGACAGCCGCCATACGTCCGTCTACGCAGGCAACCATCAAAGCTGATCCAATTGGGCATCCTTCGTAGTTCAAGGGACAATTCAAGTCAAGAAGGTTTTTCATAGGATTGACTTCCCCTCGAGATGCAAACCGGCACAAGGGGCTCCAATGATCAGAGGGTGTCATATTAGCAAAAGTCTGCAATGCCTCGATCCGGTACTTCTTTCGGTAGAGTCGGTGAGCAGTATCAATCCAAATGGGCGAAGAACCGGCGTTGTACCAGCTACACGGTTTACTATCGTCAAGGCGAAAGTCCGAATTCAGTATGTAAGAAACAAACTGAGGCTGTCCAATTGCCCGGTGAAATGCCGAAAACCCTATTCTCGTTGGTTTGTGAGGACTCACACAAGTACGCAAAGACTCAGCAAAGAGTTTGCACGACCTGGAGTCGCCGTAAGGAATGATATCGAGGAAAGATCTATTGTAGCGGTTCAGCACAGTCCTGTCGGCATTGGCGCCAAGTAGCACGTAAACGTTGTCGAGTTTCTCTTGCGACGCTGCAACGAGCAGTGGTGTATCTCCATCTCGATCACGCCAGTCTAAATCGGCGCCTTTCTCAATCAACAACGAAATAACTTCGTCATTTCCACAATCAAGCGATTCGTGTAGTGAGGTGTGCAAAGACAGCTCTGCAGTGCCGTTGACATCGGCTCCAAAGTCGAGAAGTACTTCGACGGCTGCGAGGTTTGCGTAACGAACTGCATTTATGAGCGGCGTGATTCCTTGGTCATTGAACTTGCCAAGAGCAGCCGCTAGTAGGTTTTGGGCATCTTTCGAGACTGTCTGCTGCTTTCTATCCTAAAATCAGTCGGTGCTTCGCATTCATACAACCGTGTTCAGCACTTGCCTGTCAATCTCATATGTTGCTTTCCCCAGGTATGTGAGAAAATAGTTCAACCCCTCCACGTTGTTTGCTGCCAGAATCGCGTCAAACAAGCCAGAAGATTGCTCTAGAAGGTGGCCTCCATGTTTCACAAAATTCCCGAGACAGTTGGGAATGATACTTGCCAGTGCGACCTTCTCTAGAGCCAAATGTAAACCGGTTCGGCCCGGTTCTCCACAATGAACGGGCTGTGTGATAGCTGCTCCGCGATGTAATAACCACCTAGTGATATCAAGTCGGCCAAGATGGATTGCGTATATGAGCCCAGAGCAACCTCGACAATCACTTAGTGGAGCTTCAAAGTCAAAAGCCTTTCCCGCTAGTAGTTCTAGCTTGTAAATGTGGTTATCGCGTATGGCAGTCGCGCATACGGTGGAAAGCATAGGCTCGCGTGTTGCCTCCAAGCCCACCACACCACTCAAAGGTTCTTCATCAGTGGCTATTGTTTCAATTGAATGAAGCCATTCGTTCAAACTTTGATTTACAGACACGTCAGCGTAGAATGACGGCTTGCAGCCGCTAGCATCTGCAAAAGGCCTGCCTCCTGCTTCAACCAGGGCTTTCGCCGACGCAAGCTTTGAATTTTGCGCGGCAAGGTGCAGTGGAGATCGACCGGCCTCACATTGAGCATTAACATTAGCGCCATGGCCACATAGCGCTTTAATGCTGTCGACGTTTCCGTGGCAGGCTGCGAAATGCAAAGGTGTCCAGCCATTGTTTGTCTTTGCGTCGATACTTCTCATGAGGCCGTTGTCGAGATAAAAATTGATAACGTCAGCGCTTCCTCTACAAGCGCCCGCATGAAGCCCGTTGTAATTCTCATGAGTCATAAGGAACGCGTCATTATCGTCGTAATGACGTTTTTGGCAAGTTCTCTCCCATTCCATGGGTGGGTGGTTCTTGGTTTTGTCAATTGCGAGTATTTCGGCCAGCACCAGCACGTAGCCGTTCTCGGCGGAGGCGAGAGCTGCATCCCAGCCACTCAAACCTTCAACACCTGGGTCTGCTCCGTTGCTTAGAAGCGATAAAGCTTAGTTGGGACTAAAGTTTAGCAAGTGATGCACCAACGCGGTGTTGGAATGCATATCATCCCTCACTCGGAGGTTTGGGTCGGCCCCCCGTTGCACCAGCTTCTCAACCATCCACTCTGCTCCTTCCTCTTCACCAAGGTGTATCGCTGCCAAGCCCTTTCTTCCGGGACTGCAATCATTCAATTGCTTCTTTTCTGCGTGATCCAAAAGCAAGTCAAACATTTCTTTGGCTCTGGGGGTGTCTGGGACGTCCGGCGGACTCTTGCAGTAGGCCTCCAAGACAGATAGGCCATCAACACGACGATGCACGCTCACACCGTTGCTGAAAAGCAGATTCGCGAGTTCAAAGTCCAAAGAGCGAGCCGCGGCACCCAACAGACGGCAAATTTCGGGCCTTTCTCGAAGGCTGGAATTCCCGTCAGTTTGGCGAAGGATTTGACAAAGCAGTCTCGTTGAAACTGGTGCCAAGTCGAGCGTAGTTTGAATATCATTGAATGACGACACCATTGGGAGGATCCCAGAAACCCCGTTCTGCTTTTCAAAAACTCTCAGGTAGCCTAACTTCAAAAGAGACATCCCCGCGGAGGTGACGGCTTCCTCGCTTTCGCTAGCTACAGCATATTGTGCAAATCTTTCCCAAACCTTTGATAGGTCGGCAATATCAGCTTTGTCGGAATCCAGCACGGAGAGTTCTCCCATCACGTCTGGGTCAACCTCGGCGACCGCACCTTTCTTGAGGCACCTTTCAAGATAGGCTTCGAGCGGCGTTTTGCCATGCAGGCGACAGGCGCAGGCATCGGGGTACAGGGATTTCAAGCGACGGGTGTTCCTAGCTGATGCACCTGGACCAAGGTAATGAAGTGGGCTGTCGTTGGGTTCAACATCCGAATTGGAGTTCAGAGGAATGAGAAAGTCAAAAACCTCGTCGGCGTCGGCGTTGACTGCAAGGCTGAGAATTGGCACAGGGCTTGCCATCATAGCGGGCGTTACAGTTACGCGCTTTACAAGTATTGAGAAGGATTGCAATGCACCAGCCTTGACCATGTAGGCCAAGGGTGTATAGCCCTTCTTGTCGATTATCTCTAAACCTGCTTTGATCTCTTCGATGGGTTGAGTATCCAGTATGGCTTGAAAGTGATACGATGAGTTTATCCGGTAGTGCAAAGCAGTAGCTTCAAATTGGTCCTGGGAGTTGCAATGGGCGCCCTCTTTCGTCATCATTCGCATCAAGTCCCGGAAAGGTTCTGAGTCGACCTCTTTTGGCCAAATTACCTTTCTCCACGTCAACCTCCAGTCCCAACAATGCAGTGGTTGCAAACCAAAGTTGTTAGACCTCAGAACGTCGCAGCCGGCGTTTATCAATAGTCTTGCAACCTCGAGATTCTTCTTCGTGTTGTCGCGGAACTCCAGTAGTGCCAAATGCAAGAGAGAGTCGCCCTTGCTATCTGCAATGCTTGCTGCGTCAAGCCGAGGGTCTGACATAATCTTTCGCAGCACTGTCAGGTTACAGGCTTTCGTCGATGCGATAGCTTGTGTCTCTAAGTCATTAATGCTCAGAGTGACTTGTGTATCAATGGCCATGACATCGAATGTGAACTCCAGTTTCGCGTATAGTGCCGCTTCCCAAGCTAAAGAGCACAGTCGTAATACCATTGCTGATCTGTCAGCCCGCTGGTCGAGGGATTCGATAAACGGCTGCAAGCTCGCTTTGAATCTCTCTTCATGCTGGCTAGAAGATACGCCATTGAAACTCTGGAACACCCTGTCTGCTCGCTCGACATCCTTTTCGCGGATTGAGATTCCGAGCTTGACCAGTATAGTCGGGACAGAGAGGCTGCCTGTCAATAAAGTTGACCGGAATGCGACTTCAAGTATGCTCTCCCCGGGGTAAATGTGGGTAAAAGTCGTGTCCAGCGAAGCTCCTGCATGGCATAAATACTTGATGGTATCTTGCGTGGCCAGAGCTCCGTGATACCCGCTCAGAATGCCAGCTAGGTGGCTGGAGGAATGATCTTCGTCTGCGGCCATGAACAGCAAACCTTGAACCGCGCAGTACAGCGGACATCCTATGTAACTCTTCATGTTGACGTCCGCACGCTGTTCTATAAGATACCGGCATATCTTTTCCAATGACAGAGCTGCAGCCACGTGCAGAGGTGTGAAATAAGGGCTGGCGCATAGGCCTGTTACCTGGTCGATGGAGATATCGCTAATGCAGTTAGAGAGTGCAATTGACCAGGACGTAAAGTATGGCGACTTGATTGGATTGAAAAGCGCTTTCGCCAAATCCTTGACGTGTGTGTCGTCCCATGCATGCCTCGCGAAGCTTGGCCTGTGTTCGGCGGCATATGAGTAAAATGGAAACTCATCTTGTCGATGTTCTATCTCGTCTGATTCGGTCTTCGGGTCAAAACGTGACCGATAGAAGTTTCGAAGCTGTAGGAATCTCAGGCACTCAGCTGCCAACAAACGGTGCGATAAATTTTCCGAAATACGAAAAGCCTACCAGGTCGGGGTACTGCGATGAAGGGTCTTTGAGGAATTCTTGTACAGAAAAGTGAGAGAATTCCAAATACTGCCCGTCACTCGACTCCCGAACCAGACTGCTACAGTATTTGGTGATGGCGTTGAGGTGGATTATGTGTCGAGGCTCAAGCAAAGTGTCTCTTCGAGGGACGGAAAGAGCCTCCCTCAATTGACGAATGGTAAGCTTGGGCGAAGCGTACGCAATGAATTGCAGGGCTAACTCTACTAGTCGTCGCTTTCCATTAGGGACCCTCTTTAAGATTCGTGCGTAAGTCTCGTCAAGAGTCGGCGGCAATGATATTAGTGCATCTCGACAGTCTTGGTCGGAAACACAATCTTTGAGGTGATCTAACTGGCAAGAAACCCAGCGAAACCTTGTAACAACAATAAGTAAAGTTCGACTAAATTATGACTTGGAAAGAAGCACAAGAATTTAGGTCACTTACATTCCTTTAGCCCCATCCACCAGTCCCTGGATTATCTCGGCTTTCAGTTCAGGGTCATACGTCGACAGCTTCCCAACTCTTTAACTCTCTCTTGGATCTGCGCTGTAACGTATTCCATGACGTCGTGTTTATGAACAGCAACTTCAATCGAAACGCACCAGTCGCTGAGACGGTCTCGGATGCCGTCCTCGTCACGACTCAATAGAGCAAGAGAAATGTTGTTAGCTTCATCGAATGTATCGACAAGCGTATCAATCACATCCTCAGTCTTTCTCCCGCACTCGTCGAGTCCGTCAAGAATTAGGTAGGCTTGATCGTATACTTCAAAGATTCTTTGTAGCAGCACTTTCAATGACGAGATATCGGGAGTTCTGGGGAGTCCATGTTTTGGATGCATTTCATCGTAGTATTGCACAAGAACTTCGTAGGCGTCTTCATTTTGGATAGAAAGCTGATAGGCGAGAACACCGAGAATTGTTTCTGGGGATTGTGTGATTGAGCTTTTGTAATCGCAGAAAAAAAAAAACGCTGTAGCGATCGAACCGGTGCTTTTACCCAATGCCGCCTCGATGATAGAACCGGCAATGATGGTTTTTCCAGCGCCTGGAATTCCTGTCAACCACAGATTGGACTTCGGAGCCGAAATCCAGTGTTTAAACTTTGGATGACGACTGATAAGCCAGAGGCCAGTTCGTGGATGCCGTAATTGCAGGCTCATCTCGTAGTTTTCCTGCGGGTTGCATTTGAGAAAGAAAGCCTGGACCTTTGAACGTCTCGACTCTTTGTCGACTCGGCTGACAATGCTTCTCGTGTCTCTGATCTCCGAGAGAATTTCCTTCGTCTGGCGGTCTTCGTGAGAGAGTATCCGTAGTAAGGCTTGGAGCGTATCCGCAGACAATGCTGTGCTGATCATCCCCTGGTGACGGGAAATATCCTCGTGCCACCCCTTGAGACGACTGGACCTCCCAGGCCAGAACAGCCTTCCCTTGGCAGAGTCCGCTTCGATCTTTCCCAACTTCTCCTTCATTTCCTCCAACGTCTCGTTACAGTCATCGATATAGTCCATGCGAAAGTTGCTGTGGAATGAGCCGTCTTCCAGCGCTCTAGCAAGACGGGAAAGACTTTCGAAAGAGGGCTCCGGGCTCCTATTAAGTGTATGGGAATGGTACTGATCCAAAAGGAAAGCCTTCTGCACGCCACGACACATTGGAGGTGTTGGTTGGTTGGCGAGTGCTACATTTCTCACACGTATCCATTTGTTTGGGCCATACAATGCGATGCGGAGTATCTACTCACCCGATGGGCGATGATTATGGCCAAATCGGGCGCGTGGACATTGGCGCTAGAGCAGGCTGCGGTGGACACACACAAGAGGTAGCCATTCAGTGTTTTCTTCCGTTCGGATGCAAGTTCGTGCCTGTCAGCTACATGAATTGCTGCCTGAGATGCGAGCGAATACAATACATTGAAAAGTCAAAGTCAGGGAGCAATGAGCTGGGTTTGTAAGCTGTGCAGTCTGGATGAACCCCTAAGAGGGGCACGTTACCAACCTTTCCAATGACACAAGGCCGAGTCTTCTATGTCGTAGTTCATCAGCAGCTGGTGGAATAGAATGTCGGGTACTCTGACGCTCATGAAAAGGACGCATTTTGATGGTCTGGTAGCGCATATGACTTGTTCGCTTCTTTTCCGGGGTGAGGGGGTGGTTGCCTGATGGCTAGATGTGGCGGCCCATCATGCTCTTCTCCCGTAGTGGAATCATGCAGGCTGACAGTGGTTCTCTGGGCAGAGGTGGCTGAGCAGGGCAACTGAGACCAACGACAGTGCGTCTGCCCATTTCACAAGGCGCGTTTCTTCCAACAACTTCCAAATTTGGGGCAAAGCCGCAGATGGGCTGTCATCGAAAATGGTGCACACTTACTTATCGAAAGAAGGCCGCACCTTGGCCACTCCCAGGGCTCTGATGAGACCAACAATTTACAGCCAGCCAAACACATCCGGATTGGTCTGACTCGAGTCTTGTTCCCATGAAATTCACAGCCGAGCGATGCTTTTGTTGCTGCCGATACCGTTTACATTTGGTCCGCCCCGAACCGGATCCGGGTTTCGGTGGAGCACCCACTTCGTCGAAGCTGCTGCCGCTGTTCACGGCGCAACCGGCGCTTTCACCCCAGATCCAGCTCCGACGTCTCCTACTGCTACATAAGTTTTCACGCCATTTTTTCAGCCCACGAACTCAGCTCAATGCTCGCGGGACTCATCCCCGTATGCTCTTGGTAACATATGGCGCGCGTAAATTTGCCGGCTCCAGGTTCAAGAGCTAATTAAACAGCCGCTGAACAGTATCCATTGTAAGAAAAATTTGTACTACAATGGGAAAATTGAAGCGGTCGATCTTACTTTTACGCGATCACCGAAAAGAAGGTGACTGGCCATCTCAGTTGAGAGTATTAAATGTGCAAAAATTCAGATGTAAAGCTGTACGAATGCGCATCAACCTCCAAGCTAGGTTAATATAAGCTCAGGGGCAGAATTTCAGCGACGGACTCTTCAAGACCGCGTTCGGGGCCGAACTCAGCCAGCCAAGACTCTTAACGACACCACATAAGAAGCAAACACTTCTGCCGTACCCACAACATCCCCACATCGGACACGAAACCCAGAGAAACGCGATCCCATCGGCTCAGCCCAGCAATTCCATCGTCCAAACAGGAAAGAGGAAAAAAGCACACAAGCATGAACCTCTGAAATAAGAAGGTGGTGGAACCACTTCCCGAGTCAAGGCATTGCAAATGCGCGCTCGTTGTTTGGTCGCGCTGCACTCAATTTAAGTTGAAGCAATTTCCCATCTTTCCAGAATACGGGGTCCGGACCCACCCGCAATCGCGCAAATTCGGCCGTCGCGCCGCGGCGGTTCGGGCATCCCGGGGCGGGCCCCGCACCCAATTAGGCATGTGCCCCCCGGCCTCCCCAGATCGGAGAGTCCGCCGATCAGAAATCAGCCCTGGAGGAACAGCAGGAGGGAGAGCAGGGGGAAAAGCATATCTTGCTTCCGGTTCCCGCGTCCCGCTGGGCTGATGTCGATCCTGCTGGGTGTCCGACACAGTCTCTCTCTCTCTCTCGTTTGATCCAACTACCAGTCACTCTTTCACCTCAAACCATCACAATGCGCGTCTCACTCGTGTCCTTCGCTCTCTTCACAGCCGCCGTACTCGGCCAAGATGCCGCGCACCAATGGCAAGCAGCCGGCGCCAACGACCGTCCGTCCCCCTCCCCTCCCTCCTACCACCCCCCAACTAACACTCCCACCACACAGTCCGCTCCCCCTGCCCTCTCCTCAACTCCCTCGCAAACCACGGCTACCTCCCCCGCACCGGCCGCAACATCTCCGTCGACGCGCTCATCGAGGGCATGCACGCCGGCCTCAACCTGCGCGAGGACGCCAAGCTCTTCTTCCGGCTGCAGGGCAACAAGGCGCTGACGGCCTCCTCCACCGGCGACGCGCAGACCTTCCACCTCAGCGACCTCATCACGCACGACCTCATCGAGCACGACGCGTCCCTCAGCCGCGCCGACATCCACTTCGGCGACAACTGGTCCTTCAACCAGACCATCTTCGACGAGACCAAGTCGTACTGGCCCGCGGACCTGATCAGCATCAGCGACGCGGCGAAGGCGCTTGTGGCGCGGCAGAAGACGGCCAAGGCGGTGAATCCCGAGTTTAACCTGCCGCTGGACGGGTATACGAATAGTCTGGGCCAGACGGCGATGTACTTGGGCCTGTTCGGGGACTATGAGGATGGAAATGCGCGGACGGATTGGGTGGTGTACTTTTTTGGTGAGTTTGCTGTGCCCTGGGTTGAGATGAGAATGTGAGAACTGACAGGATGAACAGAGAATGAGAGGCTGCCGTTCGAGCTTGGATGGGCTAGACGGTCTGACGATGACAAGATCCCGGCTACGGGCATCCTGGCGCTGACGACCAAGGTCGCGGTGCACTATCTTGCTGCCAAGATTGGGTTGTAAAGTGGTGTATTTGGTAATGTTTAATTAAAATGATCAGCGAGTTGACGGTACCGGCGTCAGACATGAATTCATAATGATATCCATATGAAGACTGGAGGTTCCATTCATCGCCTGTGATTGGCTGAGCATTCACTTCCTGCACTCACCCAACAACTTCAACCGGACGGCCACTCACTTCCGGTTATGCTTCACCCCGACCCCGACCTGAGCCACCCCCGGCCCCTACTTCCTCGCAAACTGCATACTAACAACGAAGACCGTCTATCAAAAACATTACCCCCCCAAATACGAGTCCCATCACCGGCACCCAGCATCCTCATCACCCGCCTCCAACCCCAACTCCATCCTCCTACGGCCGCAGCCACCATCCCCCTCGCGCGCACTATTGCCAAACCCACTGTCATCACCCGTCCTTCCCACCAGCGATCCATCACCTCCCCCTCCATCCAACTGCGCGCAAAGGGGGCCTCGGGTATCCGCTGCAGAAAGTGGATCTCTCGCCAGGGTCGCCCTCAATGTGACAGCAGACCGGGGTCCTTCCGCTCCTCTGGCCCATGCGACGACTCAGCGCCCCGGTCCATCACGAACGCTCAACGCCCAAACACCGGCCACCGGTAGCCACACGGCGGGTCGCGGCCCATGTCCCGGTGCATACACCCATCGCCCGCGCCCGCTTAGCGCCAACAGCGTCGGGCGGCATGTCTGGTGATATGGTGGAGGCGGTATGTGTTGGTTGAACCCTCGAGGATTCCCAGCGACGAGGGCTAGGTAGCTTGGAGGGATGATAAAAAACCGCTCACCTCGCCCCTGGGAAGACCGCACCGCTACCGGCTCGAGTCAGTCTCTTTTCTACATCCTCTGCACAAAATGCCCTCCCAAAAGCCAAAGATCCTCCTCATGGGCGCCACCGGCTACGTCGGCGGCTCCGTCCTCCACCACCTCCTCGCCCACCCGGACCTCACCACCACAATCACCCCCTCCCACCCAATCACCCTCCCCATCCGCCCGGGCAACCCCCCTTCCTCCTCCCCGTCCCGCGCCGAGCTCCTCACCGCAACATACGGCCCCCGCGTCCGCCCAGTGCACATCACCTCCCTCGACGACGCGCAAACCCTCACCCGCCTCGCCTCGCAACACGACCTCGTCATCAACGCCGCCTCCGGCTTCCACCCCTCCTCCGCCGAAGCCCTCGTCCTCGGCCTCGCCCAGCGCCGCAAGACCCACCACCGCCCCGGCGCCTCCACAACCCCGTGGATGATCCACACCTCCGGCACCTCCAACATCGCCGACCGGCCCCTCAGCGGCGTCCCCCGCCCCGACGCCGAACACGACGACGCCAACGCCCCCGCCGTCTTCGCCTTCGAGGAAGCGGAGAACCGGCGCGAGTGGTACCCCCAGCGCGCCGCCGAACTCGTCGTCCTCCGCACCGCCTCCGAGACCGGCGTCTCCGCCGCCTCCATCCAGGCCCCCTGCATCTTCGGCACGGGCTCCGGCCTCTTCAACCGCGCAGGCCTCATGGTGCCCGTGATGATGTCCTTCGTCCTGACCCACGGCTTCGGCATCCGCGTCGGCGACGGCACCGGCTGCATCGACACCGTGCACGTCGCCGACCTCGCGGACCTCTACGTCCTCTGCGTGCGCGACATCGTCCACAATGCCGGCGCCAACGTCCCCTCCGGCACGGGCGGCATCATCTTCCCCGCCGTCGGGCGCACGCTGACCGCGGAGATCCCGAAGAAGTGTCTCGACGTGGCGTTCGCGACGGGGAACCTGCCGCTCGAGGACGGTCCGCAGACGCCGGAGATACGGGAGTGGAGCATTGAGGACGCGGCGGTTACGACGGCGGGGAATGTGGCGGTCGCGGAGACGGGGTACGCGGGCCACCGCAAGACGAAGGGGACTGTGGCGCGGGAGAGGCTGGGGTGGGCGCCGGTGTATCTGGAGGAGGCGTGGGAGAAGGACTTTGAGACGGAGTTGAGGGCGGCGTTGAATGGGCAGCGGGCGTCGACTATGGCGGCGTGTATTGCGAATACCAAGTGAGGTTGTGGAGGATGTGAGGCTGAAATGGTGCAGCACGACATTGCTGTGTAACGTCAATTACGGCATGGATGGTGCAAGTAAAAGGGACTGTCTTTGGAAATTTTCGATTATTCCCCTGATCGGTCTATATATACGTTTTGTTTGATTTTGTCTCAATATGCACACGGGAAAACAGCATTTAACACTATGGTATGAAGGATGGGATGAAGCTTGTGTGGTATCGCAGCGGTAGTATGTGCAGACGATGAGGGACACCTTTTCCCGTATGATACACTCGCCGGGTCGTCCTTCGGATTCACCGGAACATTGGAGGTCCCTTGTTGTAAAGACAGCAGCAGCCAATTATTTGAGTCCTCCGAACTTGATGCACTTCTCGATCCATCCGCGGCGCGGCGTCTGCGGGGGCGGCGCCTGTTCGCGCGGGTGGTTCACCCCGCCGCCCCAGCTGCGCCAGGTGCTCTCCGTCGCCTCCGTCGGCGCCATCGAGACGCCGCGGTCGCCATGCATCAGCGGCGGCGGCGTCTCCAGCCACAGCGGCTGCGGCGGTCGGCCCTGCTGTCCCGGCGCCGCCGGTGGCTGGCGGTTCTCATACAGGGAGAGGATGGAATTCGTGTCGGACTGGTTCTCGGTGCCGTACCTGCTCGACGCGGTGTACCTGTTCGCGTTGCCGGCCTGCTGGCTGTCGGGGCGGTACGCGTCGGGCACGTTCGGCACAGGCGACGCGTTGACGCTCTGGGCGCTCGCGCCCATGGTGCGGGAGGAGTAGACGCTGCTGCGGCCGGAGAGGGGGTTCAGCTTGAGCGGGTGGTGGCGGCGGATCCAGCTGGCGATGGAGTTGCGGACGTTGGGCTGGTGGACGGGGGCGGGCTCGAGGATGGGCAGCTGGCGGCCGGAGGCGTACTTCTTCTCGTCGAGGTAGCCCTGCGGGGTGAGCGAGTCGCGGTCGTCCGGGTGGTAGCCGCCGCCGGCGGAGCCGTTTTCGGCGGCGTAGGCGGCGCCCATGAGCTCGGCCATGATGCTGGACGGGGCGCGGCGGGCGGGCTGCTGCTGGGAGGGCGAGAAGGTCGATTCGGGGTTCCAGTAGTGGCCGTCGGGCGACATGGAGCGTTCGTACATGCGGCGTGCGTCGCGGCGTTTGCGGTATTTGAGAAACCACCAGAGGCCCCAGCCTATCACGAGGAATAAGGCGGCAATGGCTGATGAGGATGTTAGTTGGCACTCGTGAGAGACACGGATGGTTGCTTCATCTTGGTCACATACCAATAGTCCCGAACGCGATGGCAGTTGGCGTCCATCCTGCATCTGAAGATCTGTCGTCGCCCAGGCCAATCTCGTTACCCCCCCTCGTGGTGCCTCCCGTCGGTGCGAGAGTCGGCTTGGTCGTCGTGAACTGGCTCTCGGGAAGGGCGGTAGGAACACTGCTAGTCCTGGACGGCGGGGTGGCAGAAGCGGCAGGGAAAGACGTGGGCCGGGGTTGTTCGCGGGAGGGATCCCGGGAGGGTGCGCTGGACGGCGTGATGGACTCGGAGGTCGTCGTCGTCTCGTCGTTGCCGGTGGGATTGGCCGGGGCCAGGACGGGAGGCGGTGGCGGCGGTGGCGGGTCCGTGGTCTTTGGCGAATGGGTCTTTGTCTTTGGGGAGTGAGTCTTGCTCACGCCCGGCGGGAAGCTGGAGTGGTCCGGTGAGGGCGAGTCCTCGCCATCGGAAGAGTCATCGCGGATCTCGATGCGCAAGTCGTCTCTCTGGTAGCGTGGCCGGCGGCGGGGGATACGCCTTGTGAAGTTTTAGTCACGCCGGTCATATAGATGTCGTCGTGATGCCATCAAGTGACAAGTCCTACCTTCTCACAATGTTTCTCGCCACAGCCTCCATGTTGTCGTAGTGCCAAGCTCAAGTTTCAAATGACCAGATGTTTCAACCCGAGAACTGATAGTGAAGCTGTTTCGATGGTCGCGTGATCAAAAAATAAGGGTGAAAAATGAGATATGTAGGTCGTCGTGTTGGGACGGACAGAAAGCAGCCCAGCTGTAGAGACAGAATGAAAGAAAGTTAGTGGGCACCGCCCGTGAAGAAGGGAAAGGCGAAGAATGAAGAAAAGTGAAAGCTTGATGTCGACTTGGAAGCTTTCACCTCATCTTGGCCATGTGTCGACAGGAGGGGGGGATCGAAGATGGGGGAGGGAAGGGAGTGAGAGGGGGGTGACGTCCCTTTGTTTCGATGCAGAGATCGAGGAACGGGAACGAGGGCCAGGAGGCGAAGTGCTAAGTGGCCGTATGTATAACGTAAGCAAGAACGAAGACCAGGTGAGGGCGCCGTCACATCGCAAGGTGACAAGGTGACCAGGGGAGGAGTGTTCCTTGCGTGGCCCAAAACCGCCGGTTGGTCTCGTCTCTCGATGCCCCTCCCCTGCAACGTCCTGTCGTTAGAGTGGTCTAAGGTTTCTTGTGGTGGTGGTTGCTGCGCCCGTGCAGCCGCTGTCTGTCATTGCGTCAGGAAGCGCTGCTGCGAACCATCCATCCATCCCTTTCGAACACTGGACTGGACTGGCTTGGTGGTGGTGGTGGACTGGAGTTCTTCAGTGCCCACTCCGGGTGGGCAAGCGGAAACGAGAGGAAGTCCGGAGCGCGAGGAGGAGCCAAAGGAGGGTTACAGGACGCGAGGTCGTCGGGGGTGTTGAAGAGGAGAATGGGACTGAATGGGAGGGGTCCAAGACGGCGGCGGCGGCAAGAGGGCAAGAAGACACGAGGCCCTGCAGTGTTGTTGGTGTTTCACGGTTTCAGACCTGGTGCCAAGAAGTCCCAAAAGACGCTGGTGCGACACCTTTTTTGCTGGGGACCCAATAAAGCCCCGGTCCACACCAAGTTTTAAGCGGGTCTTTAAATGGGTCCATACGTTGAACAATGGATCCCTTCTCCGCCAAGCCGCCCCGCTGTTGCCGCGGTCCCGGATCCCCGATTCGCTGCAATCCTGCAGCCCTGGTGCCGATGTGGGCGGCCCGGCCGGAACAAGGGTCCACCTCTTCGCACTGCTGGCAGCTGTACTCTGTACACTCTCTTCACTCCAGGGCTTCATCGCCGCCAGCCACCAAAAGTCGGGAGAGGCGCACAGTTTCAGAATGTCTTCTCCCCGCCCACGCCGTCGCCGCCAGTGCCTGAGAAGATCAGATCGGCTGTCCCGTATTGATCTTTTCTTGGTGACGGGGCTGCCGGGGTTCGTCCTGTACGAGAGAGCACGTACATACACTGCGAAATGCACTACGCGAGTACGGGGGAGCCAACGGTTCCGATCCTTTCCGCCAATCAGTCTCAGCAGCCATCCTCCCAAAACAGAGTCCATTCGCTCTTCTCAAACGACTAGAATTTGAATGGGGATAAGATGAGAGGAAGGCAGAGACCCAAAGCCCAAAACGGGCGGAATGCTACTACGACTGCTCTCCTGCCATTCGTTGCAAACTCTACTAAACGCCAAGGTTTACTTTGACAGGCCCTCAATCGGACAATCGCATCTTTTTCGCCGCCCTGTGCACAAAAGCTCAAACCAGCCTTTAATCAATGTTGTATCTGCCCACACGCCCAGTCCCCGCCCAATTAAATTCGAACGAACCGTCCCCTGGGGCTTTCTTTCCTCCCTTCTCCTGTTCGAGAACGTGAGCAGTGCTTCCTTTTGGCGCCTCCGTGGCTGAAATCCTGTGTTTGTTCGACGCAGACACCCATCCTCCGTGCGGTGCCGCCAACATCAGGTGAAATGTTACGACGTCACACCCCGTTCAAGCCCGTTTGAAGTTGGTGCCGAAGCTCCCGTGACGCCTGCCCATCAGTTCCTTGGCATCCAGCGGATGCAACTTCGTGATCTGGTGTGCGTGCAATCATCAAATGAAAGGGGGCGGGATGCCAATAACGGTAAGGCTTTGCCACATGTGAGGCTCTCTCAGAAGGGTATGCACAAGCCTCGGGCCATCATTTATTCGAGTCACAAGCGACAACGCCCTCGGACTCAATAGTCAAGGCCTCTTCGCTTCCTCCCTCGGGCTGGCCTTTTGCAACATCTCTGACGCACTGCCCCTGTGGATGCTGCGCCGCCGGAGAAAAGCTTGGCCTCGAAGGAAAGGGGGCTCGGCACCAAAGAGTGGGACACGATTAATTTACAGCAGTGACAACTCTAAATGCTCCCGCGAGTCAATCCCATCTTGGCTGGCGAAGTGCTGGGGTCCTGACTCCTTGCTCCCTCTAGCGCCGAAAGTAATTTCGATCTTCAATGTGGCCTTCAATTTCGACATCTAAGCTTAAACTGAAGTCCGACGATATATGAGATGAGCCGTGTCTTCCAAGCGAGGGCGGATGTTCGCGATGCCGGCTTCTGCTAGATTGCACTCTTGCTGATGTTGTTCAATATTGACTTGGCGTACGCCAGGTAATTAATACAGGCGCTCTTTACCTGAGATCTCAATACCAGTGGGTTGGCTATCACTGGACGTCAACTTGGACAACAATTTCTAGACTTGCTGGACGCGTCTGCCTTTCTCCAAGTCTAGTCTATCACACGCTTGCCGTTGATTAGATCAGTAGGGAAACGTACCGACTCTCGCAAGCTTGGGTAGCTAGTCGGACTGATTTCGCGCGTCTCCTAGTGCAAACCTTACCTAGCTGATGTATTATTGAAGTTCTTGGTCTAATATGCCCTGGATGCCCTTTGGTTCAGTCTCAGGTGTCTTCCCAATCTCGTTATCTTCATCGCCTCTTTTTTCAACTCCTTGACTTCATCACTGGGACCTACTTATGTTTCGATGGCGTGTTCTGATTGATAATCTAACAAGGAAAGAAAGAAAGGAAACTACCATGGGGGGGGGGGGGGGGGGGTCTTGACGAAATCCGACCTGACCTTTCATGATGACCCTGCACTCGTTGCAAACGTCACCGTGTCTCGTACCATCACCTGTACTCTTGCGTCTTCCTTGATTTCCTGAATTCTGCAGAGATAATCAAACCGCGATTCATCGTGTCG